CCCAATCCTTCCAACACATCCAAACACACCACCTGCAACGACTCAAGAAGAATGGAGATGGACTGGCTTGGACCAGCGCCTTCATCAAACAGATCTGGAGCCTACACTTCAACCTTTGGACCAACCGAAATGAATCAGTCCATGGCACTACCCTAACTCCCACCCAACTATTCCAACTGGACACTCTACGCGAACGGGTTCGATAACAGTACACCCAAGGCACCATAGGCCTACTCCCCGTCGACCACTGGAGAGTCCACCCGGACACCAAAACCCACACCCTTACATTCACTATCGACAAGACAAAACGATGGCTTGAATCTACCACCCTGGCCCGAACCGAGTTCCAGAAACAACTTGCTCCAGCGAATCGACAGCTCCAAAGGCAACAGCAACTGATGATCACACATTTTAGTCTTAATCCAGATTAGGCCACTGCGCCCCCGGTCACTCCACGAGGAGGCATTCACTGTGGTAGCGGAGAAACAAGGACCTGTCCCCTCTCGTTGGGGACGGAGGTGAAAGACGAGCGTAGCCTAGTTAGCTAGTTACACTCGTGCTTATATGAGGTACATCCTCTTGTTTCAATGAAACTGAATGCTATCCCCCTCGTGTCGTGCGACCACCCACATAAACGACTCAGTTGCTTGGGCCCTCGGGCTCGATTCGTACCAGCGTTGACAAAGGTCCTCCGGACCAGATAGGTAGTCTGCCTAAAACTAGTACTTTTTATATACAAACAGTATGCCACAGACATTGACTCCGATGAAGAAGGAGAAGAGGGATTCCAAGGAATCCCAACAAGTACAAGTCCAGCCAACCCTACAGTCGAAGAGACGGCACCAGCAGTGGATACCAATAATGGAAACCTCGCTGGGCCAGACAAAGCTTCCAAGCTTCCCAGAGTTGGAATTCGAAGATCAGCTCGGATTGCTACAGCTGAAGCAAACAAGAAAGGAGTAACCTTCATCCAAGATGATGAAGTGAATCAGCCACTGCTTTACGAGACCGAAACCAGCAAGCACTTGGCATTGTTCATGGACTCCTGTAATCACAGGAGTGCCACAGCAGAAGTAAAGGATGAGAGCAGCCATGCCCCCAACAACATCTTCTACCCAAGGGTCTGAAAGTATGGGGCACCAAAGCAAGAGAGGCAGCACTCAAAGAGATGGACCAGCTCCACAGCCGAGTATGTTTCAGCCCAATTGACCCGAACCAGTGCAGTGAATCTGAATTGAAGAAAGCACAGATGGCACTCATGTTCGTTACTGAGAAAAGAGATGGCACTGTCAAGGCCAGAGCTGTCTACAATGGGAAGCCAACAAGAGTGTACCACCAGAAGGAGGACGCCAGAAGTCCCACGGTTTCACTTGAGGGTTTGATGTTATCCATGTGTGTTGATGCCTCGGAAGACAGGGATGTCATGTCACTGGATGTTCCAAACGCATTCATTCAGACTCCAATGCCAGTTGTCAAACCAGGTGAAGACAGGGTCCTCATGATCATTGAGGGAACCCTTGCAGACCTACTTGTGGAAATTGATCCTAACCCCTATGCTTCATTCCTGATATACAAAAAGGGACGTCCTGTCCTCTATGTTGTCGTGGAGAGAGCCATTTATGGCATGGTTTTGGCGGCACTTCTTTGGTACAAGCTATTCAGAACAGAAGTGACCTCGAGCAAGTTGGATTTGTGTTCAACCCATACGATCCATGTGTGGCCAACCGGATGATCGAAGGCTACCAACAAACAATTCGATTCCATGTTGACGATTTGATGTCAAGCCACAGAATGAAGTTGGTCAATGACCGGACTTTGGAATGGTTCAATGACAGGTATGGAACCTATGGAGCCGTCAAGGCAACCCGTGGTCCCAAGCATGACTACTTGGGGATGACAGTTGATTTTTCCGACCCAGAAAAGGTTGTAATTGACATGATAGACTATGTCAAGAAAATGATCTCAGAGTTTCCAGTGGACTTTCGGGCAATGAAAAAGGTACCAAGTGCAGCTCCTGCTGACCTTTTCAGCTCTGGTGATGGAACCACCCTGAATGACAAAAACAGGGAGACTTATCATACCTTTGCAGCCAAGCTGTTGTTTCTGTGCAAGCGTGCTCGACCAGATGTGCAGACTCTCACTACTGTGTTATGCACTCGTGTCAAAAGCCCAACATCTGATGATTGGGACAAGTTGGTCCAAGGCCTCAAGTTTTTGGATCAGACTGCGGAGGACAAGTTGATCCTACACATTGATGACATACGCATCATCACTTGGCGGGTGGATGCATCATTTGCAGTCCATCCTGATTACCGTTCCCATACAGGAGGAGTTATGTCCTTTGGAAGTGGCGCAGTGCTGTATGTGTCTGCGAAACAGAAATTGAATTCGAGGAGCAGCACGGAAGCGGAATTGATTGGAGCTGACGATGTCATGTCGCCCATGTTGTGGGCAAAGTTGTTCCTAGAAGAGCAGGGGATCGTTGTGAAGGACAACATCCTCATGCAGGACAACAAAAGCACGATCATCCTTGCAGAGAATGGCAAAGGCAGTTCGGGCAAAAGGACTCGGGCCATCAATATTAGTTTCTTTTTCATTTATGATCAGATTGGAAAAGGAAACCTCAGAGTTGTGTACTGCCCAACATTGGAGATGCGTGGAGACTTTTTCACGAAGCCCCTTCAGGGCAAGCTCTTCCATGAGCACAGGGCTTTCATCATGGGGCATCCACCCCTTGTTTGATTTCCTAATTTATTTATTCGTTCCACGGTAGCCACTTAGGGCACCGTGCAGGAGTGTGTTGGAGGAAATATACCTGACACCTCTTTACTATTGACTCATGTATTAATCATCTAGTCCGGTTCGCATACAAATTCATGATGCAAGGAACCAAGGGAGTTTTAGGTCTAAAGTGTTGCGGGGGTCCTTATATCTAATTCAATCACAAGAATTGCTATGCACCACCAGAAAATCCTCACTTTTGCTTTTCAGCTTAATCTAAAACCAAATTACTCCCCAATAAGCTGCAGTATTACTAGCAAACAACACACCTCATTTCCTTTCCCTGTACAACCCTTTGAGTTTGTTGCGTAGGGGGTGGTGTTGGTTCGTTGGGAGACGGGAATGGAATTTTCGCTCCTGAACTTATTGACGAAGAATATCTTCGTCGAAGAGAGGAAGCCGTCGGCAGTATTGAAGGCGAGGTGGTTACGTTTAGGGTTGCATGCTTGCCTTGCATGACTACCTAGGTAGACGACAAAGCGTCCTATCACATCGTCCCAGAACTTGGCAAGGGCTTTGCTGTCGTTGGTGAGAGGAAAGCCCTGATGGGGTATGTCCTTGGCTTCCACTATCTTGATACCAGTTTGAGCACAGTAACCTTTAAGGAAGAAGTTAAAATGGTTGAGAGCTTTCCCTTGCCTGTCGGTAGCGGAGCCTAAGAGATCATCGTCGATGGCGTGAGCATAGAAGACCTGAGTTTTCTCATCGTCAGAGTCCGATATTATGATGTTGCTGTTAGTCGCTCATGGAGGGGAGGGGGGGAGGAGACTTCGTCGATGGAAGGTTCGTCCGGGAGGGGGGATCCAACAATGAGGTTGGTGAGCAGCGAAAGGATGTTGCTGGTTGACACTTCACGTCTATGAGGTTGGTTAACGTTCGGGTGTCCTGATTCGGTTTTGGGTATCCGTCATCAGAATACCAGATGGTACCTCGCATCTAAGAGTGACCTAGTTACTATGGGCGGGCGTGGCGGGCAGGTGTGTGTCACGACTGTTCAGTCACGTTCCAGCGGCGTCCAGTAAGGGCGGTCATCTTCTTCCAGCAAAAGTCGGGTACAGTATGACTCACCTGAGCTCGCACCCTTGGACCGCGAGCTCTGCTAACTTTCCATGCCAAATGTTCCTGCACTTGGTGGGGTTGGAAGGGAGAAAAGCCTTCAGATAGGTCGTCCTTCCAAAAGTTGCAGCCAAAGGAGTCTTTGTTCAAGGATCGTTCGTTTTGCTGTACTAGTACATGTAGTGAACTGAGACCATTATCAAGGCGGACATGAACCATCCAAAGCATGCTAGTAGTACAGTACCGGTATGACCACTGGAAGCTCTAGCTAGCTAGGGTATCCGGAGACTGGTGTAAGGGAGCTTCGGCGGCCTATAACAACAGTCGAATCGAATCGATGTGTGCCCTTAACAGAATGATTCAATCCATCTCAGACGCAGTGAACTGCAGGCAAGAGCACTCAGTGTGGTATTGTAGGAGCCGTATGGTCCTTCTCGGATCCATCAGGAGCGTTTCACCTCGAGTACTAGCTAGGAGAGCGTTTCAGCTCAATAGATCTGCAATCTGCAGACCTGCCAACATGCAACCTTGAACCTTGAAAAGTGTTTCGCGGCAGTCGTGTACCGGTACACTTTGAAATGTGGAAGGTTGATAGAGATCTTTAGGAGCCATTCAATCTGGCTTGAAGGGCACTGGACGGAAAACTTTTAAGTACTTTCCCAAGCAAGGGGTTCTTGCACTGCCAGAGTGTGTACAGTGTATCGTGCAAGCTATCGTGCACAAATTAATAGTGGCATCCTGTTGGGTCCTTCGGAAGCTTGAATTAACAAAGAATTACTGTGTAAAAAGAGTATGTACTGTAAGTACTTTCCCAAGCAAGGGGTTCTTGCACTGCCAGAGTGTGTACAGTGTATCGTGTATGTACCGGTACCCTCAACAGAAGTCTTGCAAAAAAGGTGCGAGGGAGCTGAGCAGGAAAAGTTACAGTGGGGGGAGTGTTAGTACTGTACTACGAATAATGATCATGCTATTTGCAGTTCGATAGACCGGAGCGGAGCACTGCATCTTAGCTGATGGTAGGCAAGACAAGGAATGACTACATCGTAGATTTGCATCTCTCAAGTCTGGAGGTTCCAAGCAAGGCGTCTCATAATTTCCTACGTCAAGCATCAAGCAAAACCTCCAGGAATACAAATAAATTGCAAGAGACGAGACCGAGAACCATGAATACATCTGCTCTTTTCAATACCGCGACCGCTTACGAGAACCTAATGCTTCGAAGGTGGCCATTGGATCCCTCCGCCATGGCTCTGAGCCCTTTCGTTGTTGTCTTCCCTCCTTTTCCTCCGCTAACAGCCCCGAGCGATCTTCTGAACGCAAGAATGGCGGCGCCACCAATTCTCACGCAACGCACATCTACTCTGTTTTGCAGCGATGTCGACGCTGCTGGTGGAGGAAGTGGTGTCCCATCTACCAGTGCCGTCGACCTTCTCAGGAAAGCCAGTGCGAGACTGCCGAACGTGGCTCCTCTGTCACCTCCTCGGGATCCTCGATCGTCCTCTCCTCAAAAAACCACCTCCGCGACGAAACCCAAGATTAGCAAGAAGGATCGAGTACTTTCCAAGGTTTCTTTCATGAAAGCCGAACGCACCTATATCGATGAGGTGCAAGGCATTGACATTCTGTGTGGACGTGGTAAGTACCCTCGATGCTACTGCATTGTTTGGTGACAACATTATTCGAGATTGCAGCAGGCTCACCATGTCAATCTTCTATTTCGATTCTTCAGGGGGTAGATCAAACCATCACCCTGGCAACAAACAGTATCGGCAGGTTGTCAGTGAAATGAAACAGTACTACCGAGAAACAGAAGGGAAATCAGGGAAAACAGAACTGAGCCGAGCCATCGTTGATCACGTTTGTGACGATGGTCAAAGGTTCGTCAAGAAAGACGAGTCTGTGGGTAGATATTACATACTCTCCAAGGCTGAAGCGAGGAAGAAGACAAGCCAAGCTCTTCGGGAAACCAAGAGTCTCAAGTGGACTGATTGCTAGAATAGCCCAGGCTACGTATGTCCTGTTTTACTCGCTCTTGCTTGCGGTGTGAACAAGACCGGAGGAGGATCACATTCAAGTGGCATTTGGAAACTTTTATAGAAGAAACAAACTACTATCTACGGGGCTCTTACCGGTATGGCATCTACTACTCTAGCCAGTACGGTAGCTACTGGTGTGTCTGATGTCTACTAGCTCAGAAAGCCTCCTAATTTCATGCTGGGACGTGTTCGACTGGTGAACTGGCCATTACCCCAATGATCCAATGATGGTACATGTGAATGTACCCTGTAGCAACCACCGTACATCACCCCTCCACCTCCTCCCCACTGGCGGTCAAACGGTACTGGTACCGCTTGAGTTCATTGGCGTGATGGTACGGTACCACTTACTAGAGCTACTCACTAGCTAGCTAGCTAGCTACATGTGCTACTACCGGTACCGGTATCATAGTTGGTACGTTGGTACCAGTATTGGCTAGCTGATTACTAGTAAAAATGTACCATTGCACTAACAGCGGAGTCTGATTTCTTCTTGCTGGAGAATGGGGCAAAATAGCTATGAATTGAGGCACCTGAAATTCAGTATTTTGCCCAATCCCCCTATCATGTGATTTAAAGGCAGGCCTTTTGCCACCAGATTTTTACAACAGTAGTCGCTTTCCTAATTACCTTCAATAAGGTCGCGGTTACTCATGGACAAAAGGGGAACGAACTGAGGAAGGTTAGTGGTCTGGAAGGGAACTTCATGAACGAAAATAAATGTCTGCCAGAAGCGAAGACGCGAAGACATTCTCGTAGGTGACAAAAGCTAAGTGATGCCTAAGTCTCTCCTACCAAGTTTCGGTTCAGGGCTGGCCACTGGACCATGCAGTTTAAGGTATAACTTGTTTTGCTCTTTAGCTAGTTTAACAATAAACGGACCTTGCCAGAACGTGCTGCATTGGGTGGCTTGGGCTGGGCTATACCAGTACTAGGTACCCATACTAGCTAGCTAGTATGCGGTTGTAGAGTCTATGAAATAATGGAATGGCGGGGCGTTGTCGAGGCTCTAGTTGCCTGCTTGTTTTCCTGCTGTCAAAGGTTTTTCCAGGTTCGAGACAGCCAAAGAGATATTTCCCGCCTTTAGTAGAACTTTATTCAAACAAGGCAGTTTGCTTCCTTTTCGGAGAAGTGTCAAAGCCAACCTGAAACATCAGCCTTGTTAGCCCCGGTCGTAGCTGCATCGAGCTCCAAGCAAAACAAATTTCATGTCTGCTCTTGAGAGTAGTCTTTTCTTACTATAGCCAGCAGGTCATTGGCTGCACCTTGACAACGGTCGGATTATCCCCTCCAGCCTCCAGCTGGCTAGAAACGGTAGTACCGTAGGCCTCCTGTGGTTGTTTTGGTCAACTGCACTTGTGTAGGTGCATCGATCGAGTCAGTGGTTGTGGTGGCCGCAGCATCAACCCAGGAAGACTGCTGGGATCCGTGGTACCGTAAAAGTATATCCCAGAACTGAGAGAAATACTGAGAGCCTGTACCTGTGGTAGTGGATCCTACAGGACGTATTGATCAAGGTATCCGACACCTGGTGTATGCTGGGTACGATCCTTCCTTCATACCAGTGAGGAGCGAGCGAAAGGTCACCGCCTTGGCCGTAAGATAAATGAGGTTCGCACCTCTACTACTCACTGTTAAGATAACGATAAAGCACCTCTTTGGTTGAGCTCTACGTTTTCGAAAATATCGCTCACTAGCTAGCTAGCTAGTAGTAGTAGCTAGCTAGCTACTAGCACGTTTTCGAAAACGCAAAGTCCTCGAAATCGCTTGCTGGCAGTACGTTCGAAAAGCACAAGCCATGACAAAAACGAAAACGAAAAATCCACAAGTCCTCATGTAACAGACTCACTATTAGGCATGGCTAGCATGCTGATTAAACTAAGGTCAACTCTACTGAGCACGAACAATACAAAGATCCTCATGCAGACTGCCCATAATGGTGTCCTGCTTGATGGCAGCAGTAATATTCAAAACACTTCCTTTGTAATGCTCCTCAATCTTGGAGATGACCCAAGCTGGAGCTTTCTGAGCATTGACAAGTGTAGCCATGAGAGTCCAGAGTGGCTTCCTCCTGGAGTAGGTTGACTTGCAAGCCCTGATATCATCAGCAGTGAAGTTCTTGGCTGGCTTGTTGCCACCAATACCATGCATCACCACTCTTCCCAAGCAGAGCCAACAGTTCTGTACTTGGCTAGCTTGGCGGCCTACTATCAGAAGGGGTGGTGGCCACAGCTTGTCTGTACCTGAGGCTAGTCTGGCCATTACCGGCGAGTCCTTTCCACAGTCAACCCATTTCTAAAAAGATTACCATCTACCTGATCAGGTGTTGCCATCCTTGGAGGCTGAACAGCAATCCTAAAAGCAAACAAAATATATAGAGTTAGCAGCATAATAGCATGGTTGCAATAGCCAACAGCCACAAGTCCCACTTACCTGCAAATATTTCCATTAGTTTCGTCAGCTCCGCGCCAAGCCAGGTCTCCAACCAACCTCTCAAAGCAGCAGCCGAACTGTCGCGGGTCCTACCTTCTGCGCATGGAGCTGCTGGAGCTGGTTGTGCTGCGCAATATCCTTGTCAGAATCTCCTCGTTCTGTTCGTACCTGCTGTTGCGTTTGCATAGCCGTCACCTGCCGAGACTGATTGGCAACTTGACGAGTGCTTGCCTGGCCGGTCGTTCCGTAGTGCCACCAGCCGTGCACCGCCGCCTCCCGTATCCATCGGCTCGATTTCATTGATGTGGAGCTTGGTGTTGTGCGTCCAAATAGAGAGAGGCACTTTCACCACAGGGTTGACGCCAACAGGAATATCGGCCTTGATGCGCTCGTACGCATCTTGGATCTAACACGAACGGGAGGCTCCATCCTCTCTCCCAAGATTCGTCAAGAGCAGCCCACAGAAGAGGCAGAGCCAAGTGAAGTGAAATGTCGTTGACACCGTCGTAAAACGCATGCGTCCTTGGCACCACATGCTCAATCAACCAGTCGGGAGTCACTCTCCTGGCATCCGGGTGTAGCTTGTAGGCAATAGGAGCCCCCATGCAAAGCTTTTCGGCAACACGAGCGTCGATCCAGGGCTGTTCAGGCGAAATGTAGGCATCAACACCCGTCCAGACAAGCGAGCCTTCCAGCGACTCGAATGTCAACTTCGTCAGCAGTAGCACCCATCCCTCTTGCCAGAGTTGCAGCAAACTTCCGAATGCTGTGACTCCCAAGAACACCAGCAATGAGGAGCGCCACAGCAAGAAATGGAGCCGACAAAAAGACAGCCTTGAGAATGTTGCGGTAGGCTGCGTTGCAGTGCTTGGGAGCCAACTTAGGATCGCTTTCGGGAGTAAAGAGGAATGCATCTTCCCGACCAGCGGCGCCATACCCGTAGTTGAAGGACGCCTCCATGTAATTCGCCAATCCGAGCATAGCACAAAAGTCGGTATCCATCGACCCAAGAATGATTTGGTCAGGGCATTGTCGTTCTTCCGAAATATTCTTGGACCAATGCACCTTGCAACTGAGCGCAAAAGGGAGTCTGGATGCGGCTTGTAGTCGGAATATTCAACTTGGAGATGTCGTCCGTCCTGTGATGAGATGGACTTGCTGCTTCAACATGCAGGCTGTACGGATGGTCGATTCAAAGCTCCCTTTGCCGTAGAGTTCATGGACCACCTTGCGATACTCAGTTTCCGTCAAATCCCTGGTGGCACAGGACTTCTTGCCGCGGTGTTGAGTCTCCGCTTTCTTGACTTCCTTGACCACTTCGTTCACAGGATCGGACTTGGTTGGATTGCCGGAGGTTCCATTCCATGTGGCACCTTTGATGGGCATGTAGAAGGATATAGCCTTCTTGTCTTGCTCAAGAGTAGAGGAGCGGCAAGTTGGATTCTGCTCGAGGTCTTTGAAGTCAACATCGGTCGTACCATACGCACGCCATTTCAAGTAGTCCGCAACGTGGTGTGGTTGGATGCCGGCCAAAGCACTAGGTTGGAAGCGAGCCGCCTTGGTGTATGTCCTCTTGTGCAGCCAGCTCATGAATTTGACGAAGAGACGATGGTAATCCCGGTTGTACTTGGGCTGTTCCGTGGGTGCTTCAGGCAAATCCGGCACGTCCTCCAACCCAAAGGCTGCTCCAGCATTGGCCATGGTGGAGCAATTCTTTGGTCAACTAAGCAATTGTTGGTTGGTTGAGTTGGAATTTCGGCAGAGTTTCCTTTACAGAGTAGAAGGAATGAAAATAATGAGCTCAAAACTGAGGAAAACTGAACTGATGCTGATGCTACTGTAGCTACCGGTAGCTAGTAGTGGTGGATCGATCGCACGAGTTGCACGTTGGTTGCCTCTTTGCTTGAGTATACACGAACGATTGAATCGAATCATTCGTGCGGTGGCTTGAGTATACCATACTCCAACGTAGCGATCGTAGGGTGGCTGCTTGAGTATGCTGTACCTGCAACGGTTGGATCGGAATGGGTCGGATATCCGATCTCATGGGAATGGCACGGTATGTGTTTGGATACTTAGGGCGAAATTGGAATCCTCTCAGTTCTTTATGTATTCAGGGGTTGGCTTTATATCTTGACTGTTGCAGTTTATTTAATAGTGAGAGTCTTATTGAGAGGATCTTTGTTTCAATGACTGCCAATACTGTAAGTTTTCTACGTAGCATACCCTTCTTGATCCTGACAGTATGTAAGATCCAGTAGTAGTAGGGGGAAGCACATACTGAGGCTGTGCAACTACTGTTGCAGAAATGTAGTACCGGTACGGTACGTTGTGGATCTCTTGTGTGTGTGTGGTACTGTACGGTATTCTGTCGCGGGATCTATACCTAACCCTTTCTCACGAAATCTACCTAGTAGGATCGCTGAAAGATCCGTGGATCTGCTTAAACTTTGCGCATCATAAAAACAAATTTACGACCGTACTTGGCCATCTGAAAGGAATCCGAAAGCATCTCATCGTCTCATCCTCTACTATACATAATGTACTAGTACTTTCGCTACTAGTACATCTTTTGTATACTTAATTCTCTATGACCCTTTACAGTCATTGTCTTTACATTCACTTGAACGCAAAGAACTTATGAACAGTGATAACAGAGCTCATAATAGTAAGAAGGTACCCGTGGCATAATTTTGTTACATATCCCTATAGTACAGCTTCAACTGTCCAAGTACCATTCAGATGTCAAGACTCTTACTTAACACAAAGGGACTAGACAAGACCCTGCCACCGTAATCTCAGAGCAGCAAAATCATCAGCCCAGAACTGAGCTGTTTAACTGTACTCCTTTGTGTAGTGACACGAGTAGCCAAGACCCGTTCTTGATTACTTTTTGTAACCTCATTCTGGCCTGAAGGCCACTTAGATTTATTGGAATGTTCATCACAAAGTCTCCTATGAATGTCTAAGGAACGACTTAATGAACTCCAGACGCCTTTTAATAGCTCCTTACGCGTTCAATTCACCGGTACTCTTTTGTGTCTTTTCTACCAACCACTCTTGTTTTGGATCCATTTGGGGTAATTTTGTTTGGGCCAAACTTTTTGCGTTGTTACTCATCAATTTGGTTCATATCCCCCTTTTATTGAGATTATTTGGTTTGGAAATACTTGATACTGAGTTGCATTGGTCTATTGGAAAGCTCTCGACTGGATGCTTTCCAATCTATCCTCGTCAGTCCTCGTTCAGTAGCCACCAATTGGTCGTAAATCGCAGCAAAGATTCGGCACCCCTAATTGAGAAGAGCCTATGTCGCGTGAACTCTGAGATGGTAAGGCAGTTGTCCACTAATTTCAACGCAGTGCAATAAGGAACCTACACAGCGAGTCAGGGCTTCAGGTGAAGCAGTCGGCTGGGTAGGGCATTCAAAAGCGTCGCTGCAAGCTGCAAAGCCGCTACCACAACCTCTGCTCTCTGCTACTGGTACCTACAGTCACAGGAAGTCAGTTCATCACTGCTTGATGCCCACTTTGATCTCGTTTTCTCCAACGACTCATAGCAGAACTCATAAATCGATACCATCTCCCCACAAGTTTCGGTGTCCTCTGTTGAAAAGCACTTCTATCAATTTCAAGCGCAATGGTAATGGCAACAGCCGCAGCTGGACTCCGAGAGCATTCCACATTTCACATTATCAAGAAAGGAATGAGCGACGCAACCAGCCCCAACCGATCTTCCCCTACCTCCGCCCACGATGGCCTTGGTCTGCAATCCGTCTTGGAGGCCGAAGCCAGTCTCCACCGAGCCACTGCAGTCGCCAGGGCCACTGCTGCCTCAAGATCCGCTCAAGGCCTCCCTTCCAGCCTTGGCAGCTCCCTTCGAACCTCTGCTTTCAGCCCTCGCGATCAGCTATTGGCGTCCATGCCTCCTTCTCTCCGAGCCTCCCAGAGTCTAGACTTGTCTGCCCCCAGGCTCAGAGCGGCGCAAAGCCTTGACCTGGGCCCACCTTCGTTGTCCCGTGGAACCAGCCTTAGTGCAGCGCCTCCTTCATTGACCCGTGGTACCAGCCTCAGTGCAGCACCACCTTCATTGACCCGTGGAACTAGCCTAAGTGCTGCTATGCCTCCTTCCTTAACAAGGGGCGCCAGCCTCACTGCTTGTCCTCCTTCCTTAACAAGAGGCACCAGTCTCTCTGGTGTTCCTTCTTTGACAAGGGGTACCAGCCTCACTGCTGGACCTCCGTCTTTGACTAGAGGCACAAGCCTCACTGCTGGACCTCCTTCCTTGAACAGAGGCACAAGCCTCGAGCTTGCGGCTGCACGACGTGCAGCCTTGGGTGCTGCTGCATACCCTTCCATGTACGATCCTCGCCGTCGGTTCCTTTTGGCACAGCATGCAGCTGGCGTTTTCCCTGGAGGTCCCTTTGGATCCAACTTTTTGGGTGCTGGGCCAGCAACCACTGGACCTTGGAGGAACTTACCCAATGAGGGGGTATCTGGTCAGGGTCTGGAGATGTTGCGTGCTGCCAGTCTTTCTTTGCCCAACCGGATGGGGGCTGTTGCCGGTATGCCTCCGCCTAGCAATGCTGCTGCAATGACTGCTTCTGCTACCATGGGTTCGCCTGCTGGTCTTGGAGCAGGCGCCTCCTTGGCAGCAGCTGCCAAGTCTCCAGGCTTTTCTCCTGAAGCCAAGGAGAGCCGAAAGAGAAAGTCCAAGGACGACGATAGCTCCGACGACGAAAGCGCGGGCAAGGTCTTCATTCCTGAGATTCGAGATCTGGACATCTTGTGTGGCCGTGGTGGAAAGAGCAACCATCACTTCGGGTAAGTTGGGTCTGGTGCCTATTGGATTGTGCTCTCTACTACAAGATTTGAATCTCACTTGATTTCTTTCTATTGTTTAATCAACAGCAACAAGAGATATCGCCAAGTCGTCAGTGAAATGAAGATGATGTACAGAAGCACTGAAGCCAAGACTGTCAAAACTGATTTGAGCCGTGCGATTGTGGATCATGTGTGCAGTTATGGGGGAAGATTTGTCAAAAAGGATGATGCCACCGGAAAGTACTACCTGTTGACCAAGGCTGAAGCCAGGAAGAAGACTAGCCAGGCTTTGCGTGAGACAAAGGCGCTTAAATGGACCATGTGAGCGGGATGATTGCTACGAACGAAAGCAAACTAACTGTACACAACAATAGAAGTAGCCACAAAAGCCAGATCAGACGACTGGTCGGGCAAAAAGAGAGAGAGATCGCTGGATACACCCCCTGGGACGAGATGGTGTAAGGGCTGCGCCGGATGGGACCTCCATCCATCCAACGAGGCGAAGCGACGACTCTTTCTTTGCGAGGGCTTTTGGTCCACTTCCTTCGGGGCCTCTTTTTGAACAGACTCATTATAACGCATAAATTCTATAATACTACCAGGACTTGTACCTATCATACTATTACTAGCTACCGGTAGCTGGCTGGCTAGCAGACATGAATGCGGATACATGGCACGGGTGCCCTATCGCGATGATTCGCTGCACCATCTCAGTTAGTTAGGAGCGGACTTTCCCGAAGCCAGTTTTCTAACTGTGGACTCCGGGACCCAGAGTCTGAACCATTCGGCTCCGAAGCAAGATTCCTGACGACGATCAGCCAACTGGTTTTCGTCCTCTCGATGTGTCGATCCAGTTAATTTTGTTGTAACAATGTACTGATATCGCTACTAGGTTGCTTTGCATGGAAAGCATCCCACTCCGCTCTTGCAGCCAGGCCTTTTGGGCCTGTCTCTTTCCACCCCTACCGTACCCCTCTCATGTACGTCTCGCTGCATTGCATGCCAGCTCGACTGAATTCTGGCTACATGTACCACTGGCCAATGATTGTTCTTCTTCAATGCACTGTCTGAGCCGATTAAAGCTAGCTAGCTAGCTAGGAAGCATTAACGATAACAACTCAACTATAGCAGATACCACTCGTACGGTTTGTACTTCCTTCAACTTGTCGCCTAGCTGGCCACAGGAGGTCCCAATTAATTGATCATCGGAATAGAACACGATGCAGAGTTTTAATAAACCAACAATACCTAGGAACTGGTGGTAGCCTCCGTGAGCACGTGAACTGGCAACAAATATTCCAGTCCAGGCCAGGCGGCGTCTTCATCCTGTGGATCTTCTTCTAGCTCCTGTTCTGGCTCCTCATCTAGCACATCGGCGTCACCGCTGTCCTTGGCTTTGGATTCTGATTTTTTGCGTCGAGGAGCATGTTCGTGTTTTTTCACCAAAGCTCCTTCCGTTCGCACAATGTCCAGCAATTCCGGAACGACCAAAACGGGAGCAATTTGTCGGCGAGAGGCTTGAATTTGAATGACTTTGCCATACAAAAAGCCATCGTGGCAGATTGGAAAGACAAAGTTCTGCACTCCCAAAGCGTCAGGGGCGCGCACATGAGCCACCCGAGAACGAGACTGCTCAAAGAGATCAACACCCGCAACGCCCACCCAACTATCCACCGGCACCATCTTGCTCTCCTCTTCTTCCGTAATGTCGTTGATTGTGTAGCTTTTGGGTCCTCTGCCGGTAGCATCTTTCTTTGTCTTTGGTTTCTTGGCTACTGGTTCTGTTACAATTTTCGGCATGGGCAGTGGTTCATCCCAGTATTCGATATCTGGACGACGAGGTCTCTTCTTTAAAACAATCTCTCCGTCGCCAGCTGCTTTCTTTTTCGGTGGTGGCGGAGGAAGCGATGGTAGACGTGGCTTTCGTCTTCGAGGGAAACAGGGAGGCGGAGGAGTTGTCGCCTCACCTCCCGTCAACAGGCGCTGTGCATCCAAGGCCGCATCAACTAGATTGGCAATATACTGAGCCGTCAACTCGGACAAAAGCTGTACGGTATCTGGATTGACTTGATCCGGTGGCACGTCACCCGAACCGTGCATCAGAATTGGCATATCTCGGGAAAGCGCTTTCACGGCCTGCGAAAATGCGCTCTGTGAACATGATTCTGTTGCTTCTGGTTCATTGTTGCCACCAGTCGCAGTGGATTGTTGTTGGCGGCTGCCGTTGTTGGACATGGTCAACTTGATTGGTGGTTGTGTTGTGTCGTTGTGTTACCGGTATGTGTTGCGTGCTTTGGTCGTTGCTGCCAAGAGCTTGAGTAAATGTGCGTCCTAATCTCCAATCCTCTTGGCTTTTGGCTTATCTCGCTCAACTTTCCCAGAGGTACAGTAACTGGATAGGAAGAGCTACCGATAGCAAGCTGACTGGATAGCTGGCTAGAGTTTAAATTTAGAGGCACGGAAGAATCATATTCAATGAATGAGCTGGGTTTTTCCAGTCCCTAGCTAGCTACCGGTACAGTTAACGCTCGCTTATATTTATAATCTTATATTTATTCGCTCTATAATATTTATTATATCTCGAGTTCCCCCCCCCAGTCACGAGTGACCGTGAATCAGGAACGCAGTCGGAACAGCAGAGTTTTGGTCGTTACCTGAAGACCTGAAGCAATACGACAGCAAGACTTTGGTTGGTAGGGACAAATCCAAGCGACATGTTGCGCCAAAGTATCCGGAGTTGGAGAAGAGGCTTGTTGCGTACATGGATCTGCGCCAACAACGAGGAGCCTGAACCGATGGACGTTGACCCGGAACCTGCCGATGCGTTTGCCTCATTTGCCGAAGCTGAAGAGGCGCTCAATAAGCTGTCCGAAAGTGCCTCCAGCTTGGGTATCAACCAAGCTGCTACTGTGCATCTTGATAGGTTTGCCAGGGCGACAAGGGCCGGCAAACGCAAACGTGATGGCACTCTCCACTCGTTCTTTACTAGTGGTTAGTAGCAGTAACGCTCTATATTTAGACACACTATTATATTTACTGGATTCCTGAATCCCCCCCTGTATATATATCTGAATGTTGACTGTAGCTAGTACCTGCAGCTTTCAAGGGAGCCGGGATTGTTGGGGATTCGCGATTAGGGATTCAACCTGTACCTCTGTACTAGAATTTGATGCCAGTAGTAAAAGCTGGTAGCCCACACCCACTTTTTCAATAGTATCTCAATAGCAACAGTAACTACTAGAAGAGAGCTTAGAGCAACTAACATACTATTGAAAAAGTGGTCTACTATCAACGAGGAGCCTATCGAAGCAACGAAACCAAGCAGAAAGATCGCGACGCGAAGAGAAGAACACAAGAGGAGCGAGTATCGGCCGAAGCCGACGCCGAACGCGACGCAAGATCAAGATCGGACGACCGAGGATCGTCGTGCCGAAGAAGAGGATCGATAGAGACCAAGACTGTCGAAGCATCGACAGCAACAGAGAGAAGACTGTCAAGGAACGACAGCAACAAGAGAAGCCCTTCGGTGGAACTGAAGGCACACGAGTGAAGGATCCGAGGACGGATCGATCGCGAAGACGCGAGAGGAGACTGCAGCCGCCGTCGACGACGACGCAGCAGAGTTTCATCGGCAGAATCCACAAGGATTGCCGATAGAAGAGCCGACAGCATCCAGCCGGAACTGTCAGAGCCAACAACAAGCGCGAAAGCCATAGTGCCAGCGCAGGGGCCAAAGGAAAGGCACCCAACAAGGAATCAACAATACAAAGAAACGGGTTCGGAGTGGAAACGACCGCACAGTGTGTGAAGCAATCGTTCCCTCCCTGCAAGATCTTTAGTAAATAGATTTAACACTCCCTAGCCAGGAGTATAATTTGAAGTTTATCGCCCCATAGCCATAAGACGAATAAGTAGTCGGACGAGAACTTAAATTAAAAGAGCTAGTCAATCAAAAAACAACGAATTGAAATAGTCCACCTACCGTAGCATAGACAATGAGCGGTAGAGGTAAAGGACGAGGTGGCCGAGGAGGCGGCAAAGCACGAGGGCATGGAAGAACCAGCCCATCGTCGAACCAGCAGAAAGGTTCATGCAAAGCCCTCGACCAACATGTGTTTAACTTCGGTACAACTGGATCTGGAACGGCAGACCAGATGATACGCACATGGGAGAAGATCGTCATCCACGTTGGACAAACGATGGGTGACGACATGAGCAATGAGCTACGCAACCTGAAACAGACAGTGTTGGTAGCACCGGTGTACTCAGAGGAGACCCGGAACAGGCTTGACGCGGCAGCGGAACGACGTGAACAGAACAACCTTCGTCTCCTAACGGCGACCGAGGAAAGCCTAGAGCTACTGGAAGACGAGATAGCAGAGGTCATTGAAAACCCAACTCTCGGTAGCTTACGCACACTAACGATAGAGAAAGCAAAACTCGAAAATGAAATAGCCAACCTCACTGCAGCCATAGAAGATCCACCGGACGAGGAACTCGGCGGACTCGAGAAAGCAGAGTATGCAGGGCTGATGAAGACCCACCTTACGAGGTTGGCAAAACTACAAGAAAATAGAGGCAAAGCATTCAACTTGATCCTAGGGCAGTGCACCCGACTATTAAAGGACAAGATGAAGCAGAACACGGACTACGAAGACGTCCTGTTAAGATGCGACCCACTGGAGCTACGAAAAATGATCCATAAGACGATCATGGCCCAGACCGATGATAATTTTGTGTACCACACATTATTCCAACTGGAAAAACAACTGTTGAATTTCCACCAAGGGAGCCTTACCGCTTCCGAATACCACGAGCAATTTACCACGAAAAAGGACATTGCAAAATCCGTGGGTATTTCCAAGCTACACGATGCAGCCCTGCTGCATACGGCGAAACTACTCCACCCAAACACAGCATACGCTGACCTTGGAGCCGATGACCAGAAGAAAGTCTCGGAATACGCTGAAGAACGGTACTATAGTTACATCTTCTATAGTTACATCTTCTTAACAAATAGTTCAGCCGAAAATACCAAGCTTAAACAGAACCTGAGGGACGACTTTGCCAAAGGCACTGATAACTATCCCCACACGTTACATGAGGTATTACACCTTTTGGACAAACACACCAAGAGTAACATCCCACGACAGTCCACTTCCCATGGAAGTTCCTTTGCTCAGACAGCACAAGGCGGGAGAGGACGGGGTGGTGGCAGAGGAAAAGGCCGCGGAAACGCGAGCTACGATAAAGAATATTGGAAAGAGAAAGAATGCTTTTCCTGCCACGATAAAGGACATCCAGCCTCGCACTGTCCTGACAAAGATAAAGACAAAGATAAAGACAAAGACGACGATGACAAGTCTAGGTCGAGCAAGCGTAGCAAGTCAAGCACGTCGAGCAGAAAAGCTCTAGTAGCGTTCAAAGGAGAACCCTAGCTACTATCAGCAAATGCAAGATAAAATGACGACAGCATTGCAACCCTGGAGGAAGAACGGATGATGCCGACTCTGACATCACGCAGTCAGATGACGAGAAAGTCGAGAAACGTTTCTTTACGTTCGACGTACCGCTTTCGCGGACGGAACGAAGAAACCGAAGCAAGGCATAGTCGCCACACACAAAGGATTGGACGAAAAAGATATGAGAGAGGTCCAGCTACTGGACAACCAGTCCACGTTGGATTTTTCTGTAATAAAGACATGTTACCGACACTAGGAAAGCCGATCGTCAATTACAGTGAAGAGTACCGGAGGCAAGCTGAAGGTCCAGCACACAGCCAAGTAGCTGGCCACAAACAGAGAGTATGTTCGATGAAAGAGGAATCACGAAAATCTTATCTGTGAAGAATGTCCGCAAGAATTGCAACATCGTCTATGACTGTCCGAAAGGAACCTACACAGTCATTAGACAGGCCTACCGGACGTAGTATACGAAATGAACAGTGAAGGATTACACGTTCATACCCTAGGAAAAAAGGGAAGGCACTTGTGAATACTGTCGCCGAAAATAAGGAAGGCTTCAGCAAACGACAAGTTAAAGCCGCATCAAGGGCGAAGCTGCTATATAAGCAAATCGTCTATCCATCGATTAAAGATTTCCGATGGGCGATTATGAGAATCAAATCGCAAACTGCCCTGTGACCGTCGAAGACATCACACGGCACAAGCTATATGGGCAAGGATATTGATGCGTTGAAAGGCAAGACCACTCGAACGAAAACGAACGCAGTGGCAGGCAATGCAATGAAAGTGCCGAGAGACTTTTTGCAATTACACAAGGATGTGTTCCTAACGATGGGCGTTTTCTTTGTGGCAGGAAATCCGTTCTGTTAACGCTAAGCGTAAAATCGATTTTACAACATCTGACACCTGCCCAACAGGAAGCTAGAGACCATCTAGAAGCAGTTAGGAGGTCCATCGATTCTACAAGGCTCGTGGTTTTAGAATCACGACATTCATGTGGACAATGAGTTTGAGCTCTGTCCAACACAATCATGGCAATGCCGGGTGGACGGTAGTGAACGTTGCCAGTGCTAACGAGCACGTACCCGAGATCGAACGTAGAATCCGGGTAGTAAAGGAAAGGACACGAGCTGTCCGGCATAGCCTACCGTTTACACGCATGCCAAAAATATTAACCGTCAACTTGGTGTTACAAGTCGTCAAACAGTTGACGTACTTCCCAAGTAAGGCGGGGGTCAGCGAGACAATGAGCCCCCGCATGATAATGATGGGAGAGTCCCTGGACTACAAAAAGCACCTGCGCCTGCAGTTCGGAGACTACTGCCAGGTGCATGAAGAAGACTCGCCCCATAACAGCATGGTAGGACGCACAAAGGCGGCCATCTGTATGGGAACGAGCGGAAATAAGCAAGGAGGCTACAAATTTATGAGCCTCCGCTCCGGCAAGAAAATACTCGGCATTCATGGGACAAGATCCCAATGCCCGACACAGTGATAGCTAGAGTCAATCTATTAGGAAAAGATCAGCCTAAACTACTCGTTTTTACTGATCGGAAAAATAGACCCATGGTGATTCGAGATCACAGGAGTGGAAGGGGAAGAAAGCAATGACGCACCCCCAACTACAATGATCCAAACGATGAGGACTGGACGCGGATGCCTGAACGAAATGGAAGATGATCCCGACGATCCCAACACACGTCACACGACGACGAATCGATAGTCAAAGAACCGAATGAAATCGGCGAACCGAAAATCGAAACGGAAACGGTTACACAACCTATCGTCGAAACGGTAGAGAACCGGAACCTACTACGGACCAACAGCCCCTGAACAGATCCCAGGATGGGTGTTGAAACCCAAGCGCACCTGAGCAGACGCCAGGAATGCGCAGGTCTAGTAGAGTGAGGACACAAGCAAAGGAATCGTATACCGAGCTTCGATGGAAAGAAGTATGAGACGCCAAACGTCCATACAACTGAACGTGTCTTCACCCAGATGCACCATGTTCTACACACAGGTGGAAGAAGAACCTGATGTGGTAGCAGCCATCATAACACAGTTGTCATGAAGGCTGGACTCAAGGAGTGGAAGGACAAAGCGCACGATGCAGCCTTTGCCGAGAATGAAACAGTTACATCTCAGGGATACCTTCCGTCCGAAAAAATGGAAGAACTCAGCGATATGGAACGCAAGAGTATCCTAGAGTCACCACCTGTTCCTAAAGTTGAAAAGGAACGGGAAGATCCAAGGCCGAGCGGTTGCAGGAGGCAACAAGCAGCGTGACTTCATCTCCAAGGAAGACGCAAGCTCGCCACAGTGTCGACAGAAGCAGTGCTACTCTCCTGATAATCGACGCTGAAGAGGAAAGGGATGTGGCAGTAATTTACATCCCGAACGCCTTCATCCAGACAAGGTCGAGGATGAAAAAGATATGGTAATATTAGAGTAAGAGAGTATTAGTAGACATGCTGTGTTAAATAGCCCCAGATGTCTTCAAACCGTTCGTGACAACATAAGAAGGCAACAAGCATGCTACTCAATGCTTGAATGCCATCTACGGACCATGGTAGCTAGCTACTATACTACCGTAAGTTCCGGAAGCGATGGTCCGGAAGGATTTAAGATTAATCCTTACGACCCATGTTAGCCAACAGAATGGTGCACAGGCAAACAACAAACAGTCTGCTGGCATGTAGACACTGTAAGCTTAGCCACAAGGACTCGAAGGTTAACAACCAGCTGATCCAAGTGCTTCGTGATGAATACGAAAGCTATTCGAGGACGGCACTGGAGAAGATGACGGTGAGCCGAGGGAAGGTCCACACGTATCTTGCATGACCATAGACTTCACGCGAAGGGTCAATGCAACGTATCAAAGTACAAGTACGTTGATGAAATCCTGGAAGCCTTCGAGAAGGCATCGCCAGAGGAAGGGGGGACGAAAACAGAAGTAGTGCAGCCCCGAAAGACTATTCATAGTAGACGAATCCTGCAAAGAGCTCCCAACGAGCAAGGCAGACACCTTTCACAGCTGGTGGCTAAAGTGTTATTCGTACGAAGAGAGCCCGACCAGACACAGGTCGGCGATATCGTTCCTTACGACTAGAGTCAAGGAACCAAATAGGCACAGATTGGGAAACTAGTCAACCTCATGCAGTACATTAGATGTACTAGAAAACTACCATTATTCTCAAAGCCGACGGAATGGCATATTGAAATGGTATGTGATGGTTCTTTCGAGTCCATCCAAACATGAGGGTCATACCGGAGGGGTTTGACCATGGGCACCGGTTACCATTATCGACTTCGACGAAACAGAAGATGAACACGAGAAGCTCAACTAGAGTGAACTCGTAGCAGTGATGACCTGATGCCATCGATCCTTGGACGAGGCAGTTCCTTCGGGAGCAAGGCTATGTATTAAAGAAACTATAGTCTATCAGGACAACAAGAGTGCCATTCTTCTAGAGAAGAACGGCAAAGCTTCTAGTAGTAAACGAACGAAGCACATCAACATTAGTTACTTCTTGTGAGCGACAGAGTCGCAAAGAAGGAGATCAGTGTGGACGGTGTCCAACTGATGATATGGTTGCGGACTTCTGGACGAAGCGAACCAAGGTCGACTGTTCAACAGAACGTGGACAAGTTGATGGGTGTTGTGGAACACTCAGAGCCAGGGCACTCAGAAGGAGGGTCACGGTCGGACAAGAAGGTCCGTTCAAAGAAGGAGCGCTAAGCGGAGTAAGTAAGTAAGCATGGTCGACCACGACTAGGACAAGCTCGACGACCACAGGAGTGTGTTGGGGATTCGCGATTAGGGATTCAACCTGTACCTCTGTACTAGAATTTGATGCCAGTAGTAAAAGCTGGTAGCCCACACCCACTTTTTCAATAGTATCTCAATAGCAACAGTAACTACTAGAAGAGAGCTTAGAGCAACTAACAGGGATAGCTACAAGGTTGGCTGCTTGTTCGAAAACCTACCATACTGTATCTACTTGTTCGTGCAGTTGTTGCTATCAATCTGACACCTGATATTGGAATAGAGCTGATGAAACAGATCGTCTCTAAATCAAACCGTAGAACATAGCCCCTCCGGCTCCCGGGGAAATGTAATTTATAAGTTAATTCGAATGAATTTGCTATCAATCTGATGCCTGATCTTGAACAGACTTGGTGGAACCAATTCAGCGGGCGCTCAAAGCAGCCCTTCTCAAAATAGAAATTGGTAACTGTCTGCCATGGCTGCATTCGTCATGTAAAAATCACTTCAACACTCTCCGGCTTCGAAGGAAGCAAAGGTTTGGCACAGTTCCGGCTTACACCGAAGAAAATAGAAAAGAGCATTGACATTTCTGCCTTTGTGAGCGTTGAGAAGAATCTCATGCCACTTTGACATCGATACATCTTCATCTTGAAGCAGGACTTTCCGATTGAGACCATTCAGTGCCATCCAAGAGCATATCTTCCGCCATGTGGTACCGGGTCCTAACTTGATGTAATCTTCTTCATGCATGGGCTGGTTCAATCGAATGTTCCTGAGATGATAGTTCTCGCGAAGAGCTACCTCAATGGGTTCCAAGCCCTTGTTGGTCACTCCCGCTCCACCTAGATCCAAAATCTTCAGACCTTGGTTCACGGCTAAACCAGGACACAGTCTTCGAATATGCTCGTCTCCCACCTTTTGGTCGTTCCCAAGGAATATGGTCTCCAGAGTCTTGTTGTGGGCCAATCCACGAGAAATGTGACTGAAACCTTCAACGCCAATCCTGCTACCCATGATACAGAGGATGCGTAACGTCTTGTTTTCACGCAACATATCAGCAATCAAACCAGCACCCTCGTCGCCAACGGCGTTGCCCCACATGATGAGGCGTTGAATGGATGTGTTAGTCTTCATATACTCACAAATATTCCTTATACCTTGTACTGTGATACCGCAATCCGACAAGTCCAAGTCTGTCACAGTGTTGGGAAGGAGGTGCAAGTGCTCCGTGCCGGCGTCTCCTATTCTTTTGTTTCCCACGACATTGAAATACACCACTTTGCTTGGCAGCATGGAGAGAATGTGACCAATGGAATTCAACCGACGGCATTTCCGCGGACGACGTTCACGGCAAGGAGTCCGAAGCTTCATGAGAATTGCACGGAAATTCTTGTCGTCCAGCTTTTGAAAGCCCAAATGGACAAAGCCTTCATCAGATCTGATGATGGGTCGATGAGGAGGCATGCTTCAGTCTTCCGTCGATGGGTATTGTGCATTGGCTCTTGCCTGAATCAATGGAGAATGACCAAAAGCACCTGCTTGGAAGGAGTGGCTTTTTAGGCGGAGATAATGACAAACAGGTGGGAGAAGCAAGCGTTTTGAGCTTGGTTTACTCCAAAGTTTCACTCTTTCCTCTCTTGTCTCTCTGCCGCCAGCAATGACATGGGGATCTGGGATGATACCAGATGCAAACTCGGAGGACAAACACATACGTTTCCCCGCGCGAGTATCAAACCACAGTACAGAACCACAGAATCTGGTGTTTTGGTGTTTATCACACTGGTTGTTGAAAAGGAACTGCTGACAGGCTTTGTCAACCTTTCAAGTTTCAAAGAGTTATTGTGTTGCTTGAATCAATGATAGAGTACAGTATTGCTATACAGACATCGAGTATTGACACGGCTAGATTTAACAAGTCTACCAACAATTCAGTCCTCTTAAATACACATTTTCTTACTCACACCCGTGCTCACATTTTTGTCTGTTGTCTTCAGGAAGTGTCCTCGTTGCCGCCGAGCAACACCTTGTATCATTTGGTCCAAGGCTTCGCTGCCACAACATCTGATTGCTTCTGTGTTGTTTGACGTTTGACATCCACTCAAAGTTCTAAAAGCTTCATAGCCTGACAACGAGAAGCAACAACATCCGGTAGCAGCGCGGTCCAAGCGATCAACATCCGGTGAGTGATTCAAGATTCAAGACAGGAGGTTAGGTCTTCACGGCCATCATCTCTCTAACCAGACGTATCCAATCCAAACGGATACAAGAGAATATCTCTGGGCCGGAAGGGAGGTATAAAATGCGAGGGTTCGACGAATGGCTAATGCGGTTAATGCGTTCGAGGATGGCGCACCGATTCTGACCCTGTGTTGAATACTACGGGACGGCAGCATGAGGTAAGATACCGATGTGAGTGTCAAGTTTGTTGAGGACGTGTTCTTGATGTGAAGCGAAAGAGTGTAGGTATGCTTGCCAATCGCTTTCATACCGGTACGGATACAAGTGGTCTCTCTCGGATCAAATTGAAAGGTACCGTACTGGTGGTTGGCACCGGTACAGTACTATCCAGCCAAATAAGCCAAACCGTGTTCTGCAATCGAAAGAAGCAGCCTAGGATATTTGGTTGTATTGGCAGCCTTCGAGTAAGCAAGGTTAAACTAGATGTTATGGAAACGTATGATACTTTTGTTTCCCAATCTGATGGCGGCTGCCTGTTAGCTATGTACGGGCAAGACGGAAACGTTTTAAATGGCTGCTTCTTGCTTTATACAGTAGCTATTGCAATAATACAACTTAGGGATCTGTAGCCATGACTCTAAGCGGAGCAATGTGGTAGCACACATGCTCCAATTAGGCTGGCTGCCACTGCAAATAGTGCTACTAGCTCTAGGAGCCACTCATTGCTCTGAGCAGCCACCAAAGGAAGAGGACCATGCTATGGTGTCCTTTTTTTTACATCGTCTAGTAGTTGGGTCTTCCAAACGCCCATATGCGGCTTGACCTGAAACTGCAATCGCAACCATCACTTGTACTCCAATCTCTAATCGTAATCTTACGGAGCGTCACTAGCTTAGTTAGGGTTAAAGCCTGGAGCAACAAAGATCTTCAACGTGCTTCTGGAAGTTTCGCGAAAATCCTCCGTCATCAAGTTTGTGCGTCGTCGCCCAGCCTCAAGATGATGGCCGCAAACGTTGCTCCTCACAACTCACCGTTGCCTGCTGTTTGTGATATCACTGCCTTCAAGCAGCTTGTCACGCTACGGCAGTGACTGACTGCAACAGTCTTCGCTGGCAACAGGGCTATTGTCAGGCTACGTACCGTGTATGATACTGATTGAATCATTCCATGCGTTCAGCAAAGAAGGAAAGTGCAAGGCTTCTCATGCGAGACGCAAAAGAGTGCCACCGTCAACCCACTAAAATAATGACCGCATCGTTCCCAAGAATGCGGCGTGACAATGATGATGATCCCCAAGCCGAGGTCAATGAAGAAAAGGAGAGCTTGATTGTCGACAATGCCTCGATTCAGAGAATGAAGGCATTGGAGCAAGAGAAAAAGGAGCTAGAGTTTGCGCAAAATTTCTCAGATCCGACAAGACGACGAAGACGGCGACCCCCACCGTTGACTTCCTCCTCCTCTTCTCTATCATCTGTCTCGTCAGTGGACTCCAGTTTGAGTGAATCTACATCGTCGAATGAACCAATCTCGCGACTTTGGCAAATATTATGTTGTCTTTGTTGCGACATTCCACTGACGACAACATTGCCACTGTTGGTGTTCCTGGATATGCTAGCAGTCGCTCTGGTCGTGCCGTTGCTGTTTCGCTACTATCAATCTGCTGGTGTCACTAGTGCGGGTTTGCGAGAACTCTTGACGTCCGTGTTTTCGCTGGCGCAAATTGTAGGAGGACTCGTCCTGGGGGCTCTGATTGACGCCAAATGGGTCAAACGAAAGACGGTCTTGTATTTGAGTTTTGGAGGATCTGCCGTCGCCTACGCATTGATTGCTCTGGGTGGATTGTCCGCGCTGGTATGGAGTCGCATTCTCGTTGGACTGGTCAAACAGACCATGACCATTACCAAAACCATGCTAACTAGAGCAACAACCGAAGAGTCCCGAGCACAACACTTGGGTCGGCTCAGTGCCAGTGCCACCTTGGCATGGGTGCTGGGACCGTCATTGGGAGCCATCTTGTTCAAATATGTCGATCCACGAGCACCTCCCATGCTGGCTTCCGTCATCTTTTTATGCAATCTGGCATTGGCAGCCATCTTGTTGCCCATGGATGACGATGACGAAGGGGGCGACAATAATGGTATGCTGGAACATTTGGACGAACCAGAAATCCACTCGACTGGAGACAACAACGCCAGCAACAACATTGACCGGTCATGTCCCAAAAAATGCAAAACTGCAACCTACAAGGCGACCACCAAATGCCAGACCTGCACGATTTCCTTTGTGTCCAACTTGAAGACGTGCTTTAGTTCGGCTACTCTGGGATCGGTTGTTTGCGCCAGTTTGGTTGTGACATGGGTCACGCGTGCTACCAACTCCAACAACCTCTCCACATTCTACGAAGACCTGTACGGCCTGGAACCGCATCAACGAGGGTACATTTCCAGCTACCAACAAGTCTTGGGCTTTTTCATTGAATCTTGCTTCATCGCCCCAGTCCTACGATTCAGTGGAGGGGAACGACGAGCTACCTGCTTTTACTCCTTTCTCTTGGCCATCGCTATTGCCCTACAATCCTTTCATCAAAACAGTCTGATGCTGTTTCTGGGAATCGTTTGTCCCGTCACGTCGCTGGCGTACTCCATCATGTTTACCTCCCTTCAAACTTTGGTCACAACAGTGGCGCCTGTGGAATCCATCTTTTCCATCTTGGCTGCCATGGATGTCTTGCAAAATGCCGTGTCGGTGACTGTGCCATTCTATCGAACCGTGTTGTTTGCCAAACTGACGACGACGACAACAGAAGCAGAAACACACCCAACAACCATGATACAAGGGGATCCGGATCCTGCCGCGTGGCTCTTGAGCTGCACGGTTCATTGGTTTGTGGCAGCCGCAGCTTTGGCAATGTTTCTCTTAGTCAATGAGAGCCAATGGCACAAAAAGGCTGAACCCAAAAAGACGACATGAAGAGGCCGAGTGACGAGTCGAGTCCCTTACCGAACAGAATGATTCAATCTTCAATCAATCATCCCCATTGCTAGCTAGCAGCTAGAATTCATAATATCTTCTGCATGCCCTCCTCTTCCAGAAATGAAAAGGTCTGGAAATGGTAGGCTTCCGCTATTATTAACCTAAACAGTACTAAAACTTTATGGCATAGACATAAATATTTTAAGAGCATCATAGTGGCCGGAGGCTAGACTCTTCGAACGAGATTTTTTGGAAGTCTATACAAGGGAAGAAAGCATTATAGAAAACGCACTCCAACTAACGTTGGAAGGCCGATGTAGGAGAGATTAAAAGCGGGTTGGTGTCTGGACGAGACGGGCAATACTCAAGAAAGCCTCGTCATCTTCTTCATTCCCATCATCATTTTCATTGTCTTGGCTTCTTCTGAAAGGAAAATCTCGTAGACTTCGAGGCAACACCTCACTGAGCCGACGATGATTTTCCATCTCTTTGCGACTAAAACCATCAACGACCCCGACATATTCTGCGATGCATTTCAACAACCCAGCATTGCCACCGAGAAGTCGAACAGGGAATTTGTTGTTCAGTACTGTCACTTGTGTTTGTGACAGCTCGTTGTTGCCATTAATACTTCCAGTTGTGGCAGCTGCTCTCTTGGAACCAAGATGTGCATCCATCTTTCGCTTTGGGACATAAGTTCCCATGAGGAATGTCTGAAAGCAGTCACGGAGATTCAGCACATCCTGCGACCAAGACAGCATCTGAGGCCGATAATCTGTCCGTGCATAATTATCATCCAGACCCTGCAGTTTATTGGCCAATATGTTGGCATCAAAACCAATGGCCCCATTCACTAAAAGCCACTTTCCCATCACCAAGCGCTCCTTTCTAAGAGCACCTGGAGAATCCAAACAGAGAGCCAAGGGGGTCAAGACTTCTGAGTGCTCTCCTGGTGCAACATCAACCCTGGCCCCATTTTCGAACAAAAACTGGCATATCTCCAAATGGCACCTTAGCACTGCGGCGTACATTGGATACCAGAATTCTCTACCAGCTCTGGTGGTAGCCCCACCATGACTGTGAATGTAGCGACACATGGGAAGGTCTCCAAAGAAGCAAAAGTAAGTCATCGGGGTTATGGAATGCCACAAGTAGACTTCCGGTGGTTTCATGGACCTCGGTGGATCGATGGCCGAAATACAATCGTTGGGATCGAACCCTGCCTCCTTCAGCTTGCGCTTGGCTGTAGCTTCATCTTCAATAATACCAGTACTTCTATCAACAGCAGCCCACTGTCGCTGGGCTGGTGGTTCTCCTACAACAACAGATGCCATGATCCCAATCAAATCGAATCAGTTTTTGTGCTGCAACGAAGATCCTGGACTTGCCCGACACCACCGTGCACCGTGGAAGGGAGGATCACGTTCAAGAGCCCCTCTCGTTATTATCTTAAAGCCAAGGTCAATTCCGTATAATTTCAAGATTTTTGCACCCCAAAGATTTAAAGCAAAATTGTAAGCCAGCGCACCGTTACCGGTGTGACGTTGAGTCGAGTGAGTCAATTGATCCTCGCAACCACCAGGAGGTCCTCTCCTCTCGGCCTCTCATCTTCGATCACAACCCCAATCAACATGACAGTCATCCGCCATGGCGGATCCTGCACCTGATTCCACCCCCGCTTCTGCTGCTTCAGCTCCTGCGACTTCATCTCAGTCTGACACTGCTGCAAATGCTGCAGCGTCCGCTGATTTGACCACAACGACTCGGACACCTCTCCATTGTCGTTGGACACTGTGGTATGACAATCCGCGCTTTGCGCCTGCTGGCACCCTTTGGAAGGACAATCTCAAGAGATGCGGTTCGTTTGACAGCGTTGAAGCTTTCTGGAGGTGCTTCAACAATATGAAGCCTCCATCTCAATTATCGCTCAATTCCAATTATCACATTTTCCGAGAGGGTATCTTGCCGACATGGGAAGATCCTACCAATATTGACGGTGGGAAATTTGTCTATACCATGCAAAAGAAAATCTCCAAAACGGGGGTGTGTGACGAATCCTGGATGTTTACAGTACTCGCCGCGATTGGTGAGACTATGGATTTGGATGGGGATCAAGTTGTGGGTGCCGTGGTTTCCATTCGCAAGTCACAGGATCGAATTGCTCTGTGGATCAAGAGTAGTGACAAGCACATTTGTCGGAATATTGGCTTGAGATGGAAAAAGGCACTTGATATTCACAAGGTCAATCTGAAATTTCAAGTTCACAGGGATGGTAAGTGTGGCTTTTTCTATGGTCCATTGTTGCCTTCATTATTCTCATATCATTTTTACTCTCCGTTTATTTTCAGCGGCAACAACGGGACGGTCTTTCCGGAATGAGATCCAGTTTTCTGTCTAAGGTTACATGTGGATGAATGGCACTGCTTCACAAGACAATGTGAGTAGTTATATTCCTGCCTTTTTGCTTCGTGTTGTCTACAGCCTGAAAGAAATGATTTGCGAGTGAAGAATATTTTCTATTATCCTGAGGGTCTGAGCGCAGCATTGCTGCGAGTGCTGCTTCAATAGAAATCGAGCTTTTTAACCCTGACGCATCATTGTTCTGGAATGTGTACCTTTCGAATGAATCGAATCGGTTCTTCTACTATCATGTGCTTGGTTGGCTAACCCATTGTGTTTTCCTCTCCTTGCCTTACAGAACCATTGAAAAGTGATCATACGGTCATGATACACTGACAGGTGCAGAGAGTTTTTTCGTGCCTTCCGAAATAAATATATAATAGACACTCTTTTCGTAACACATGTGGCTATTAAGTTACTTGTTTTCTAGCTAGGCCCGAGACAACATGCCGATTGGCTGGCTACCTTTCCGCTGAAAAAGTTAGAGCAATAGATGCGCTAGAATAATATGGAGCCATCTGTTTGTAGAAGTGGCTACTGTACCCACTACTACCGGTACGTACAGGCATTGGCCAAAGGCAAGTCTCTTGCCTAGAATCGTGTGAATTCGCTCTCTGTGGGCATCCCAGCCTTATCAGGATGGCAGACACTTCAAGGCAGCCTCGACAGCCAATTCACCACTCATCCAAGCGCCATTAACACAACCAAAATCATCTCCCTTCACGGTTGAGCCATCGCATGTATGCTCTCCAGCAAAGAAGAGATGCCGTTGATGGCATTCTTCATTCAACCGGAAACTCTTAACATCTGCAGGGCTGGATCCTTTCCCACAATGAGTCCATGCCCCTCTGGAGTAAGGATCCAAAAGCCATCGAGTCACATGAATGGCAAGGGGATCGGGAATGTCGCCACTCGCGAGGCTGGCTTGTCGCAGCACTGTCATGATTTCCTCTTGAATCGCTTCGTCACTCTTTTCTTCGATTTCCTTGGAAAACTCACCGGCCACGTAACACACGAGAATGTTAGGACCTGACATGGATTCGACAATGAATGTCGTGTATGGATGGTATGTAGGACTCTGCTGCAAGTGGGTGCAGGCCAGTGTGAATCTGCCATACTCCGTGGGCCACCAACAGTGCGGAAATGCCAGCTCAATTTTGCCACGCATGGTGATTCCCAATGTTTGAATGGCATGTACCACAGGCGCAGGAAGGTCGGGTTCGAAAGCAATACTACGAGATCGTAAAACACCCAATGGCAAGGCCACAACGACAGCCTTGGCATGAAATTCCTTGATTGTTGTAGCACCTTCCTCTGTCACTTTGCAGCGAACCACTACAGTGCTGCCTTCATTGTCACTGCTGCTAGTTGTTGTCTCGACGGAAATCACCTCGTGTTGAAAGCGGATATGATTACCTTGCACCAACGGAAATGCCAAACGCTTTACGAGGCCACCATACCCAAAGGGCAAGATCATGTGTCCACCACCCAAGCAAGTTCCCTCCATTCCATGCTTGGCCGATAGCACGTGCAGAGAGGAGCCTTCCCATGCTTCGACCACGGTGGCAATCTCTACATTGAATAGTGCCATGACTTCTTCCCGAAACAGCTCCTGTTCGGATTCTGATAATGATGCTATTGTTTCCTCCACCTGTGGATGCTTCATGACCAGATTTTCCCGACATATCGACTCGAACCGGTCTCGTTTTCCCTTGTCGTTCAAATTGTTGTTGTTGTTGTCGTGCGATGGATCGTGCAAAAGTAAGAGAAGATCCAAGAGAGACGCTTCCTCGAATGCTCCATCGTCCAGTTTCAGAGACGCCTTTGTGGAGTGAATCGTTTCGAGTGGATTTTCCATGACAGATTCCACAATTTCTTGAAATATGGTTCGAGATACCCGCCTTGCTTCCGGGGAGGCTTCCCTTGCCGTAATGTTGCCATCTTGTGATGATGATGATACAATCATGGTCAAGTTTTTGCCCGGAGGTCGTTGCTCTGGACTACCCTTGACTTTGAGAATGAGTTCGGAGTGATTTACCTCTGTGTCTCCAGCGTCGGAAATTCCAAAGGGTGGATCTGTGGACAGTTTTGCATCATCATCATCAATGTCTTTGGGCAAGCATAATTGGTATTCGACGCCCTCGTCATCGGGATGGTCGAATGTCAATTCACGGAGAAGTCGGACCATGACGTTATCGTTGCAGACTCCATGAATCCATCGGGCTCCGTGGTCCAAGTCTTTCTGGGTACCCAACGAGTCCGAAGCGTGGGCACGGCCACCCAGTCGGGATCGAGCTTCCAAGACCAGAAAGGATTTGCTCCCTTCTTTCAATAACGCCCGCGCTGCTGAAATTCCAGCTGGACCAGCGCCAAGCACCAGTACATCGAAAGCCTCTACTGCTGCTGCCATGGTGGATCTTGGAATAATGGTTGCAGACAAGAAGTGGCGTTGCATTGGCAGTAATGGAAGCGTTGATGGGTGAGAAGAAGACGAATTCTTAATTGGATCTTCTGTAAAGATGTTGAGTGAACCTCTCTAATGCTGTGAATATCACCCAAAAATTAACAAAACCATGGAGCCGTGGAGTCATTTAGTCGAAGGAGTCGATTGAACACGTCATCGTGGGGATGAATGATGAATCAGCTCCAAAGCTGCGTCCAAAGCTGCCTCCAAAGACGACGTACGAAAAGATAGAGAGCAAAGAGATGCAATGACACGCAAAACGACAAGAATGTATCTCCAGAGATCTTCTTTTGACCACAAAATCTGCCCCCACACCGAACGCAAAAGATGATGACACGAAAAGGAAACGTTGCTGCCATCTTGGCGGCTCTCTTGTCGACGACGGCATCCGTCTCGGCTTTCACAGCGATTGCCCCTCCCGCCGAGGCTGTGGTGGTTCCAGCGCAAGCACAAGTGCCATCCAGTGTTATCTCCTCGAGCTCCAACCTTCCCTCCCAACAAGAACTTCTCAGCAAGTCGTTTGCTTCGACCATCAATGTTGCCGCTGCCACTGCCGCTGCCCCCGCTCCTGTTGCTGCCAACACTGGATCTGTCGTGACCATTTCCAAAATCAATTACAACGGAGAAGTGCCAACCTCCGAAGCCGACGAATATGTGGTCCTAACCAATAATTCCAAAAATGCTGTGGATATCGCTGGTTACTACGTTTATGTCGCCACTACAGGCACTCAAGGACCAACTTATACATTCCCCAGGGACTCGGTCCTCAAGCCGGGTCAGTCCATCAGAATTTATACCAACGAAGTTCACAAGGAAACTGGAGGATACAGCTTTGGATCTGGAAAGGCCATTTGGAACAACAAAGGTGGATTGGCTGTGTTGAAGAATGGAAGTGGTACCAAGCTGGCAGAATTCAAGTACAAGGCCAGTTAAAAGCAAGGAAAGGCCCGTATGTCATCGAATTGTCATGATGTAGGGAGACGAGACGCGATTCGATTCGATTCCCGCCACATATCAAGTAAGTTTGTTCTATGAAATCAAGTAGAATGGACGCCGTCCATGTTGCTAATGCTAAGCTAGCTAGCCAGAAAAGCACAAAATCTGAGTACAACTCGTCTTCGCAGCCACCGCCTTTGTCGTGGCATGCAGCTGGAAGAAGTTGGTGAAAGCATCGGTACCAGCATGATAGTCTTGTTCGATAGCCTGCCCAACAGATCGGATATCATTTTCCTTATCAGCGACCATCAAGCTTGTTGTAGAACCAAATATCAAACGGTGCCGCTAGTGAAAAAGTGTTTGGCACTTTTATGAGATTGGTTACTTACTTGTGATCAGTTTAAGCTTGAGAAAGAGCAGGCATTCCCCATCTCAGATGTCATGCCCAGAACCCAGGCCACCACCAGGGCAAGTACACTTGTAAAGCACTCACCGTCAGAAAAGTAACTTTACCGTTTTCAATGCATCCACCTCCAAACGGCCTTGTCTCACAGCATGACCCATCGCTACGTATGGAACATCCAGCACCCCAGCCTGCTGCAAATGCTGTTGGAGGACCGAACGCTGTAGCAGTCTGGACTCCCAGCGGTAGAAACGAATTGCAACGTGTTCAACATCCAATAGGCTGGAGTTGTCCATCCCTAGCTAGCTAGTCTAGTCCGCTTAGCGGAGCCATAACAAGCCTTACCGCGCCTCTGGCTTTTATGGCTTCTTTTGCGTCCGAACCGTAGCCCCGCCAAACAAGGGTGAAGAACGAACTGACTAATAGTGTGAGTTAAAGATTCTACGAACACATCATCATGTACCTGTGAAAGTATCGCCCTTGAGCTGAGCTGGGCTTGTTGTCTGTCTTGTACTGGTACCTGTAAAAATGTAACCTCTTGGAGAGCCTTCCCCGTGAATGGTAGCAGTACGTGCTTCTCACGGGGTGGCTGAGCTGATGCACCACTTGAACAGGAATGAGGAGAGTAAGGAGTGCTGGAAACATGACATCGGTAACGTACATTTCCTTTTCCAAGCTAGAGCGCTGTCAACGGAGTTAGTGCGTCTGAGAAAGGGATCTCCACGGCAAGGGGCGTCTCGATGTGTACTTCGGGGATAGTTTCAGCCTCGGTCGTCAACGGCATACTGACAGCGGCAGGAGGACCAATACCAAACTCGACTGGTGGTTCTACGGCAGCGATGCTACTCACAGGAGTTGCCACGGTGGCCGCTGTGTTGCTGACAGGATGCTGTGTCTCGGGCGCCACCTTTGAGTTGGTTCCGTACCGCTGCAGCCAGGCACCAAAAACAGCGGAAGCCAGTGCATTGGTTTGGGCTTCATCCGCCACCGGACTCGCGCCCACACGATTCTTGGCTTCTTGTACGGCAGCAAGGGCCAAGGAAGCGACTGCCTCTACTTGTTTCTTGAACGCATCAGGGTCTACCGCAAAAGCAACGATTCGGTCCACAAACATTTGTTGCATGTTCTTGGGTAGCACAGAGAGCGCGTTTCGGAGCTTGGTCATTAGAACAGGGTCGGGCGCATTCTCCGGTTCGTCCTTCTTGGATGCCCCCTTTGCCGGGAATTGGTAGTTCTGGAGACTCTTTTGATTCTGCTTTTGCTGCACGTAGTCCACATTGTCGGACGAGTCCAAGGCGAACAAAGAGCTCAAGATATCCTCATCCGTCGACGTAAAGGACGAGACCGACGGATTGCGACCCATCGAAGACATCGAAGAAGGAGCAATCTTTTCGGGGATGGGGACAAGGTCGAGGTCCACAGAAATGTCATCCAAGGAGTCAAAGTCACCGCCAAAGGCATTCGAACCGATGGATACGGGCAGAGGAGACGCGGTGAGCTTTCGCTTTTTCGCAGGGTTGGATTCTGGCGCAGGAGGTGGTTGCTGCTGCTGGTTGAGATGCTGCTGATTCTGCATCACACTGGCCACAAGGGACGCCATTTTCTCCATCTCGCGGCTCATACTGGTCATTCGGGACTTGAGCTGCTTGATTTCGTTCTTGAGCGATTCCACATCTTGCTTGTCCGCGTTTTCGTTGTGGTTGGACTTTTTAATTTCGACCAAGAGGTCAGGACGATTCCTCTGGAATAGATCGTGCCGGAACTTCCAATACTTGGACGCTTCATCGTCTTCAGCATCGGTGATGCGAAGGGGATCCGACTTGATTTTACGAAATCCTGAGAGATAGAAACAAGTTTCAAAAACGCAAGAAAATGGAACAGAAGTTAGAGCTGACACCATGCGAAGGAAAGACAAGACAAAAACGCTGAATAAAAACTCAATAGAAACGTACCGTAGAAATTCAACTGGCGAACAAAGGAGCTAAAGTTGGAATGCTGAAATAATTGGGACGAAAGGGTTGAACAACGGGTGAGACCAAATCGGAACGGTACGATACCCCAAAAGAAGTGCAGAAGCCGGATACCCAACCAAACGTCGCACCTACCTTGAAGAATTGAGGGATGATATCCGACGCAAATTTTTCCTACAGAAGACAAATTTGAAAGCCAAGGCGAGAAAGGAAGCGAGATCAGAGGCGGAGCACAGTGCGCGGCACAGCGGTATCCAGTCGAAGTCGAAACACGCAAACGCGATCCAAAACCCCGACAACAGCAACACGCACCGTATCCTTCACCACAAAGGCTAGTCCGTCATCACTCCAAGTAGCAATAGCAGGGTCACATGTGTCAATCATGTGGTAGGTCTCTGTTGGTGGTTCATGGTGGAGGGAGGCGAGGCAAGCAAAGATATTTTTCTTAGGTCATTTTGCCAACTGGCAATTTCCTGCGGCGTACAAACCAGTACATTCTCTACGAGACTTACTGCGCAGGAAGATTGGTGCATTCTCCGACACCTCCTTCTTCTTGCCTCCTCTAGTTTGGCGCTTCTTAGCACCCCTTTGAGCCTTTTGGCTGGTTGGCTTGGCTCCGGTCGTCGTCATGGTCAAAGCAAGAAAGCAAAACAAGAAAGCAAATAACAGCAACAGCAGCGACGGCAAGACGAGTTTTGAGAAGGGGGTGTGATGTTGTTGGATGGGCGAGCGAGGGCAACTTTTATGCTTGCGGAAGCTGCGCGGATGGGTTCCTCCAAACCAAACAAACAACAACGCCTCTGTCTTTGCCTTGTTGCCTGGCAGAAGGCACCGTGCTGGCTGTAGAGGTTCGGGAGATGCAATACTGCTGACGTTTCACATTTTTGATGATCTGATTGGCTGATGATAGGGTTCTCTCCTTTTTCACGATGATGACAGGCTCAGCCAAAACGGCCTTCAGTTAATAGGGAAAGAAATGACTCAGAAGTTGGCTTCCTTCGCAAAAATGACAAGGAACAACGCATCGAGATCACGCTAAACGCGTTTACGCATGCGGTTGCCCTCCTTGCTAAACGTGACGCCAGTCGTCATTAAGTCTTCTTAATTAACGGGGAGAGCCAGAAGATGGGCTCAATGTCTTACCGGTACTGGCGCCTTCCCAGCCAGCAGCCTTGTTGGCTTTACGCTTTGCCAGTTACCGCGGCAAAGTTATTAATAAAAGTAAAGTTGGTGATCGGGGACTGGAGAATCCAGTTCATCCCATGCCAACCCTTTGATCGATAGATGATAGTGGTTGACATTGGTAAACTATGGCACGTGGTAAAACAGCAGTATAAGTGCTTTCATGTCGGACAGCTTGACTGGCGGGCAATTCAGATAACCTGAGGACTCGAGGATGCATGCATAGCGAAAGCTGTCTTGCCCGCCTGCTGTTACCTAGAATTCGCTTTCAGTGTGTTCCCAGGCAGGCTTTGTTCTATCGGCGCGATGCCAAGTGAAACTCCTTCTTCGCATAGACTATGCTTTACGGTTTGGCGTCTGCTACGATGTATCTGCGCTACCGGTATCTACAAGCTCCACATGCATTGTAGGGTATGTTGCTTGTTGACTCGTCCAAGCAGCTTGGGCTCGCTACCATGCGAAACAACCAGGTCCTGAGCACCGGTGTCATGTGATACAAACTACCTACGAGGCCACGCAGCTTTTTGTGCACCTCCACTCATGGCAACACCGCACGTGAATGACCGTACCCATGAAATCCCAATACGGAAGTCAAACCGTCAAACCAAAAAGTACCGGTGCACCATAGCCTGCGATTTCAGTCCCACAAAAACACCCCTAACGCTACTGAGTGGATTTCGAAGTCTTAAAAGATCTCAGGACTCGATGAAACCTGCCAACAGCCCCAAAGTCATCACTGGAAGTGTGTTGAAGTGCAAGAACAGTTTTTGTTTCGTGTTGTCCGGCAGTCAAACAACACCACGAATGAGCAACCCTCTAAAGAATTCCCGGCTTCGCGTGATTTCAACATTTCAACTGCTCACAAATTCAGTCCTACAAGCAGACCAACACACCACACCACAACCAACACAAAGCAAAGCAACATGACTTTCAAGCTATTCACCAACAGGAGGTCTGTCCTCGCGGAGGAAACCATTGTGCAAAAGACACAGAAAGGAAAGACAAGGCGAAGGCTCCTTGCTCTGTTCAATGGCGACAAGAAGAAGCACTCTACTGAAGCAACAAAGCTTTTGGGCGGCAAGTACCTTTCGAAGAAAGCCATGAGCTTGCGAAGCATCGACACCAGTGAAAACTCAGACTCGGAGACTGCAACAAGCTGGAAAAGCTGTTCCAGTCAAGAGTATAGACGACCAAAACTATCTTATGAGGATCGACAAAAGGAATGGGGTAAGGCCGTGGCACAGTCAAAGCGACTACCGTCGACTGCCCACTTTAGCAACAATATCATCATGGTCAACAAGGAAAGGACAAAGCGTACTATCCCTGCTATATCACGATCAAGCCACTTGGATGCAGTGGCCAGGTGGCACGCAGAAGTTATGGCATTAGAAGGTGCAGTCCGACACTCCAACCCCGCAGAACTTCAAACCAAACTCGCTGATGATACCTGCACTTTCCTCGGCGAGAATGTAGCAGCGGGAACATCCATCCGAACAATGCACCAACAAATGGTAGACAACGTTGGTGATCTTCGGAACATGACTGACAACCGCTACAAGGAAATGGGATGTGGCACCGCCCGAGGTGCAGACGGAGAACTGTATTTGTGCCAAATCTTCCGAGGCTGATCTAGCTTCATACTTCCTTCCGGTAGCGTACCGGCACAAATACTCGTACCTTTAGCATAACGAACTATAGATGACGACTACCCAAATACAAAAAGTTCTCAGTGCACTGTCTGTTGCAGGGCCAGTATCACCAGCTAGCCCAGCCCATACGCTGTAGCCAAATTCTTTGCACTTCTCCGCCTGTAGCAGGGTGGCCCAAAAAGGGGTGAAGGTGTCTTTTGTGGTCCGCGGGATGAAGGCAACCGCTGTGGTTACGCGCAGTTATGAGGCGGTTCCAAGCAAGGCTTGAAAACGGTTTAGGGTTGGGGCCTCATTTTTATTTTATTTATTTATTCATTTTTGCAACCAATGCGGAGTCAGAATTCAATGCCACGTCCATTGTCAAAGAACAAAGAACCCCCCTTTTTAGCAGGCTCGATCATTAGCAAAGTAAATGCTTTCCAGCTGAGTTTGTCATTCCATTGATCGAGAACACCACCATGAAGTCGTTCCTTTCCCTCCTTCTGCTGCTCCCCGCTGCATTGGCTTTTGTAAGCCAAGTCCCCAAAAGCAACCATGCGGTGACTGCTCTTTTTGCTGAAGACGAAAACAAAGGTGGCCTGTTTGGTGGTATCAAGAACTTTTTTGAAGAGCTCGATGCCTTTGTCGACGATGCTTCTGCCCGACGTTTGGGTGCCGGGGCATCGTTCTACGGAAAGAGGAAAAGTAATTTCTACGGTGCGTCCAATTCTTGCTTTTCAGTGTTGTTCTCTTGATTGTGTAACGACGGTTTCGGGTGAATTCAATCTATTCTAATATTCGTTCGGTTGCTTCATATCTTTTCAGGCGAATCTGATAAGATGAAGAAAGCAGACAAGAATGTGTATGATCCTTCAGGTACGCACGATACTGATGTGAAACTCCTCTTCCACTTCTTGCCGGAACACTTTCTGATCATTGCAGCCCATCCTTCTTTACTTTTTCTCGTCTTGTAGAGGACTACCGTGTGACAGCCGCTGGAAACTATAAGTGGATGGAAGATGAAGATGGGGTGCTTCGACCAGTGACACGTCTGAAGAACAAAATAATGGAAAAGAACTAAATTGAGAGTTTTCTGCTCGTTTGGAGAGTTTGGTTGAATTCGATATTTGACCTTTGACCGATTCTCAAAGAGGATGACAATCCACAGTGCTGATCTTTGGACGAAAACACCGACATGATATCGGAATCCTTTTCTGAGAAAGGGGCACGAATCATGTCCAAAGTGTCGCCTTTTAAAAGGCCTCTACCTCTAATACGGACTGTAGTCTCTTGCCTTGAAGTACTCTGGGCGTGGGTGTCGTTGTTCGTGTAGCTTTAGTCCCTTGATTGTGTGCTGATGCCATCAGCTAAGCAACTACCGTAGCTAGGTGATTTCAGTGATACGAACAGTCCACATGTTGCGAATGAGACTCGGCGCATTCCAGTACACCGCCAAACACAGAGATTGTAGATGCTGGATTGTTGATGATGAAGAATGTTTGATTCGGTTGGTTCCTCGTCCTTGTTTGCTTCTGTGGGGGATGTATCCGTTGTTCAACTGTATCAGACAAAGCTCCATCCCCGTTCTCCTTTGCTTCTGTTGGTTTTGTCCTCGTCTACATCCATTGGTGTTCCCCTGTTTGTTTCTTCCCAGCTGCCACTAACCATGATGTGCGTGGCCTTTTGACGTCCACACACCTGGAATAGAATCAAATGTAGCCCAGTCACTGCGTCTCGGTGGTTGTAAACGGACTCAATCGCGCTGGATGGATTGATACCACTTCCATATTGTTCGTGTTGCTTTAAAGCCCCTTGATTTCTGTCGCCACCGTCAGCTAAGCAACTGCCGTAGCTACGTGATTTGAGTGATACGAACAGTCGACAAGACGAAGGCACATTCCAGTCCACCGCCCAAACACAGAGGATGTATCAAGAGATGGTTCTACATGTACATGTAATAGATTGAAAGAATAACCCCCAACCATGCAAAATTTGTAGTATGGGTCCGCATTCCACAGAGCAGCATTGACCACAGATGAAAGGATGCAAAACGAGGGTCCCTTTACGATGAAAGGAACCCAGATGTGCGCACCACTCGTTTCAGTTCAAACAAGGCAACACTTCCATCTTCGGCCCCTGTGCAACAGATGCACATCATCCGGCCCTCCACTTGTGCGTACGTGACATTGATACTGCTAATGCCCGGGGAATTCCTGTTGTTCACAGCTGGCCAGAGGGATGGCTTCCCATCGAATTTGGTTCCATTGCTCACAGGGATCAATCTTAAGCCGCCGTCTGCACAACCGACGAGGAGAATGCCCTCTGAATAGACCAAGGCATTGACCTAAGTGAAAAGCATAAGCAGGCACGAATCATTAGTATCCCCGTCAAATGTCAGCGTCAAGCTCCTGGCGCTGTGAACCGCACGTACCGCAACGCCAAAAGAGAGGGCGCTTTCCTTGCGAAGTACTCCGCCCTCCAGCGTCAACGACGCCACCTTCCCTGTCGAAAATCCGGTAAACAAATTGATCTTTCCACCTTCGGTGCTCCATTTCAGCACTGAACAAGGACCTGATCCTCGCTTGGCTGGCTCATTGTGAATAACAGTGGTTACTGCAACGCAAATGACAAGAAGGGTAAGCATGCATACATTTCGGCCATTGATAACTTGTGGTCCAGGCAGAACCAGAATCACGCACCTCCATCGCCGTGCAAGTTCCATACGCAAAAGCTGCCATCTGTTGTAGTACGGCAGTCAGAATAATTCAGTGCGTGAGCTTTGCAAGCACAGCGAGTACCGGTATCGGATCACACACACACGAATCAATCTTCACTTTACTTACCAGCGCATCCTGCAGCAACAACAGCTCCTCCGTTTGGTTCCAGGTGTTGCACCGACACGGCTGACACACAGACGATAGACGAATCCGCATCGTAGAGTTCAGCGAGCGGTTCTCTGTTCACCGAAACGGTCTCGCCCTTGGCTACTGTCACCGACCAAACTTTTACAGTGGCGTCCCAGCTGCCGCTGACCATTACATGCGTCGCCTTTTCGAGCCATAAGGCACTGTTTGACGTTGACATTCGTGGAATCAAATCGAGCCCAGTCACAGCATCGCGGTGGCTGTAAACCGACGCAACCGCGCAGGATGAATTGATACCATATGCCAGAACAACGTCGTCGTGCCCTCCCGCAAAAGCAACTTGCCCGCCAGCACCATCGCTTGTCAGAACCAAACATGCCAGAGGATCTCGCGCGGAGTGTCGACGGAATTCGGTAAGTTTGGATTGAGGAGATGTAGCTGCCTGGCCTCGGCTCATGGACATGTACGAGAATCGACTGAGGGTTCCTGTAAAGCCACGTCGAGTTGGATCTTCCGTAGCTTGCGGAGCTAATGATACTGTGTGCGCCATCAGACCTCCATCCAAGGAGGTTGTAGCCAATAGTTGGGTCTGTTCTTCCCCTGCCAGCACAAGCTCGCATCCGCTTACGGCGTCTCCATGGATCTGGCGTCTTTCTAATAACTTCATATCCCATTCGGTAGGAGTTTGTATTGACTCAGCGGGATGATGATGCCTCGGACTAACACTGGTAGCGCTATCATAAGAAGGGGTTGCCTGGATGCTCTTGCTGCCATTATCAGCGGCGCCGAACGAGGAGAATGCGCCCCGTCCAGCCGGGCCTCCATCACCCGTGTCACCCGACCCACTCAGAGGCAAGTTGTGTGGACGACTGGAGGAGCCTCCAAATGGATTGTTGGATCCAGCATTTTGCTGCTGGAGAAATGTCGTCGTGGCCGTTGTCATTGCGTTTGGCCTCGAATGAAGATCGTTGTGTTCGGGGCGGACAAGAGCACCCGACGACGTTTGATTGGGGATTGACGGATCTGACGGCGGGTCCAACAACTCCCATGCCTCTGCTTTGGTGCCAGAAGCCGAATCATAATCTCGGCTCCCTGCCAAAGACCGCGATGTACCAAACGCAGGGTTGATCACGCTTTCCAGAGCAGCTTCATCCAGCGTGGATGCTGCAGGATTGCTGGGATCTACCTGCGATGGATGTTCCGTGACAAACAATTGATCTGGCACCAAGCCAAATTCTGTGGCTTGCAGTTCCGCTTGGAACCGATCGTGTTCGGTCTTCATGGCTGCGAGATCCAAGTCTCCCAGGTAACAACAGGAATGGAATAGATTGTCGGCTTCTTTGGCGGCATCGCCTCGAGATTTGCTTCCAAAGATCAAGTCAATCCATTTCGGTAGCATTTTAGTGCAGTGTTCCGACTCGAGAGCTTTTCGACTCTTTCGGAGAAAATCGCGTGCGGACTTTGCCCATGGCGGGAGCATCACATCATCCACTCGTTCCCCAGTCTGCGTGGCTCCCAGCTGCAATCCTCTGGCATTGATAAGGAAGTCATAGTCATCTGGATTGTAGAATTCTGGGAGCAATTCCTTAACATCGGCATGGTTGGACTGCACACAATTGAAGCAGTGATTCATGCTGTAAAACATTCGATCGGGGGCATCGAATTTGCCTAAAAACCATTCAACTTGTTAGTAGTTGCAATACGATCATCTATCGTTGTCAACGCAAAACTTTCTCTTGACGTACCATTTTGTAGACACAGCATTTGCTCCGGCATGCTTCTCACCAAAAAGTACAAGACATATCCCGGCGTACTGTAGTGCGTTCCATACAAGAAGGAATCGTCCATATCTTGCATTCCTTCCAGTCTTGTTTTAAAGTACTGCAATCGTTCTGGATTCAAGGCACCCACCGGTTTGGATAAATCTCGAAACGTCTTGTCGATATCATTCCAATCCAATTTTGCAGATTCAAAATCTTTGATAACCCAGGGAAATACGGGATACCGGCTTAGGTCATGAAACGACCGTCCCGCAGCGGTATTGAGTGCCAAAAGATAGTCGTAATTGGAAATTTGCTTGGCATGCCACGCCTTTACGACTTGGTACAAGAATTCTCGGTCGGTAAACGACCATGCATGTCGTGGCAAGAATCGCAAGAGTTGTTCTCGATCCCTCTTGCGTTCAAAGGCGAGCAATACACTGGTGGCATCTCGAAAGTACAATTCGAGGGCACAATCGCGCAATCCATTGTATCGACACGCCGTGGCAACAACTTTGGGGACTCTCCAATGCATGGCTTTGGTATCGGTGGGTGTGAGTGCTCCCGCCGCGGGTTGAAAGTAGATGCGTTCGGTGGTCACCGTGACACATCCCGATTTGCGTTGAAGTGGCGTCAACAGAGACGCCTGCAACGACGTGGATGTGAGTGGTCGTTCTCGGACATCCACCAAATGTGAACTATCAAAGGGTCGTTCCAACATGGGTTGGAGTAGTTCGTCCAATTCTGGCACTTCATGTTGGGATGCAGAATTTTGTTGTTGACTCCAGAGCGTGAATAATTTCTGACAGAGATCACAGAATGGTTGTGGCGACGAGTGCAAAAAAGTGAATCGGAATTCGACGGGTGCTGGTACGGTGGTGAATGGTGCGGGTGCGGCATGTTCCTTCATGACCACGTGTCGCTGAGCTCGAAACTCAATGCACATGCTTTCAAAGCGTTCTCCTAGAGAGACGGCATCACTGACGGGAGGATATTCGGTGGGTGCTTGATCCATTTTGCGAAAGGGACATCGGACAATGCCGCGACTGGGATCGGTGGGTTCAAATACGATGGATCGAGAACACAAGTGAAGTCGTCCTTCGATTTTGTTCATGGCCGTGCTGGGATAGACTTCGGCGTCGACTGTCGACGTGTTGTTAGTGTTCGAGTTGTTGTTGTTTGTTTTGGATTTGGATGTTTTGTGACTGCGTCGTTTGGGGGGTGGTTGCTGCGGTTGTGCGGCATGATGGTGAATGACTCCTAGTGACTTGGTGGGTCTCTTATTGTTGCTGTTGTTGTGGTTGGGCGCTGCCGTGGAGTTGTGTTTCATATCTTGTTCTTTCGCAGGAGAACTGTAGGCGATGACGGCCCAATCTTGTAGATGTTTCTCTCCATGCTCCAAAAGTAGCTGCGAAAATCGAGTCTGTTCCGCTTCAACGGCATGTCGATTCTTGCTGGAAGGATGCAATGTTTTGACGGCCTCGGCAATCGATAACTTGGGATGGGACTTGGTGCTGCTGTTGTGGCCCGAAGCAGAAAACTCGGCAGGATGATGGCTACTCGAATTCGTGGAGCTCATCACGCTGCTCGACTGGAACCAAGAGATTGTCATCTTGATTGCTAGCTTGCTTGCTTGCCTGCTTGTTGCCTCTTTCTTCTAATACCACTAGCTAGCTAGCTACTGACAGACTATTACAACAAATGGAAAGAGATACTCTGTCTAATTGGATACCAGATGCATTCAAGACAGGAGGGAGACAACCAAATGTCAACATGTCGGTGAAGTAAGAAAGAAGGCAGAAGGAAAGGAATCTAGATTTAACCCGGTAGAGCTGGGTTGACTCAGTCCACGAAACAAAGGGACAGGAGCTGTCAAGAGCTTGCCTCCGAGATCCATTTCTTACTTTCTCGATTCCTTTCTCAACATAGTTTGACAGTCCAATGAAACCATCGACGACGATGATGAGTCTAATACAGAGACGATGTGCTGCTTCCGTCCTTCGCCAGAGCTTGGGATCCGCGAGAACCAGAACTGCTTCAACTCCAATATCGCTGCTACCCACGAGATGGAATCCTCTCCAAACCAACAACTGCAGCATCGCTACCCAACCACTGAATCTTGGGAGATCTTCACATCGAACTTTCTCAAGTGGTCGTCGCATGGCATCCGCTCCACATCGTCCTGGCGGACCTGCTCTTCCAGCATATATTTGGATGACGGCGGTAGGAACTACTAGCATGATTGGATACTTTTACTATCGGTATCTGGAAGAAGTCCCTCTCACGCATCGCAAACGATGGATTGCCACATCGCCTCAGTGGGAATGGCAATTGGGTGACCAGGAATACCAAAAGCTATTGAAACAATTCCAAGCCAAAGGACATGTGCTGCCCCCAGATCATAGAGCATCCATTACGGTTCAAAGAGTCGGGTCACGCGTCGCCAAGGCAGCGCTAAAGTTTGCACAAGAACATGACATGGCGCACAACATTTCGAAGTCACCCTATACCTACACGGTCGTCCGATCCGAAATGGCCAATGCCTTTGTACTTCCCAACAATCATGTATTTGTCATGACGGGACTATTCAAGTATATTCAAAACGAAGATGATTTGGCTGCCGTCCTGGCTCACGAATGTTCCCACAATCTAGCACGACATGCCGGAGAACGAATGTCGTCCAGCATTGTCACCAATTTCCTGGCACGCCTCTCGCTACTCATCGATCCTTCCGGGGCCATTTTCACCATCTTTTTACCCGCGGCTGCCGTCTTTCGAGAGCTACCTCATTCTCGTACCCAAGAAACTGAGGCCGATCAGATTGGTGTCTATCTGGCCGCCGAAGCTTGCTACGATCCGCGAGCCGCCAAACGGGTATTTGCCGCCATGAAAAAGGGAATGGAAAACAGTGCACCGCCCGAGTTTCTATCCACGCATCCATCGCACGAGTCCAGAATTCAACACTTTGATCAGTGGCTACCCGATGCCATGAAGGTGTACAATGGAGAATCTGATCAAGATGGTGAGCTTTCCTTTGGAGGCGGTCACGATCGGTGTCATCATGTGCGACATCAAATGCAATCGGCACGAAAGCAAGCTGCTCATCAAGCGGCGTTGCGAGAGCAATCAAATTAATTGATCTGTTGCGTAGGATACGGTCCAGTCTTGTGATCCTAGCTAGTAATCCGAAGCTACCGGTAGCTAAAAGTATCACACTGTAGATAAATAAATGAGTTTGGACTAGAGTAGTTGTTTCCACCTGCACTGTCAAAAGGCACAGCAAAGACCTCAACTTCTCGAGAGCAGCAAAATGTACTTGTCCCTTTTTTTGAACAAAAACACAAGTGTCAGCGTACGATGTCGTGTCCAGGGAAGCAATTAAGCACTACATGTACATTCAAGTCATAGCAGCAACACTCACCACTCATTCATATCCTTTACTTTCGTATCTTCAAACGAATCAGTAGCATGCAGAGCCACATTGAACACATCCCACCAGATCACCCACAGCATTCTAGCCCGCGACTTCCAATTCTTGACCTTCTCTGCCCATTCCCGGGTCTCTGGAAGCTGGTTAGCCAAACTGTCAATGGTCTCATCCAAAAATTTCATCGAGAACTTCATTTCGTGCGCATCATCGCTTTCGGAGGATTGTAGCTCTTCCAAATCTGGCCCCTTCCGAATTTCATTCCAGATCCAAATCGCATCCTTGTAACGAAGCAGATCACTGACACGTAATCCCACAGTAGGTCTTCCTTGTCGGTCAGCCGGAGCCGTCAAGTTGGACAGCTTTTGCTCGTCGCTGTGAGTACCAAACAAACTCAAAATGGTGCTGGATATGAAAATTGCGTGGTGGCAAGCCACTGAGATGAAGGGAAACACTCGGTTCATTTCTGTTCGTGCCCCATCCTCCACAGACCCCTCCAAGTCAACCCCTTCGAACTCGGGGCTTGTGCCCAACAAAATACAGAGCATCGATAGATTGTAAGGTAGAAACAGGGTTGTCAAGAGTACCATGCCTGCACCCCGAAGACGGGGATTCAGAGCAGGTTTTGCTTGTTTCACATTTCCCAAAATGCAGAACAGACAAGCCCTGTCCACTGCATCATTCCCTGACAAAAGTTCTGTTTCATCTCCCCAGCCAGCGGATATGTATTCGTAGCTTTGAATATCCATCTCCGTTTCATGCATTTTCAACGTGCTTTCACCATTGCCATCCTTTCCACCCAAGGTTCGAACATACTCTGTCACTTTGGGATGCTCGCTGGTCCACATGGGACTCAGTCGCAACTGTCCTCCTTCGAAGGAATATGCCCCTCCTTTCCTAGCGAACTGAACTAGCAAGCAGTAAAGCCGGCCCCGTGCCTGTACGAAGATAGGCATGCGCCATATAGACCCCTGTCGAATCCAGGACCCGATTTGTCGTGTAAAGGGGGGAGATATGATCAAGGCATCATGCTGTGTTTCTGAGTGAAGCCTGAGTGCATCTTCGTGACTGCGTTTCTTAGTACTTTTCTTGGATCCTGGTTCCCAGGTTTCAATGATGGGGCGACAGTACAAGATGCCATATTCTAAGAGACGTCGAATTTCCATGGAGGATGGCTTCTTTTCAAAGGCAGGATTTTGGGGCATTGTCAATGAACGAAAGTAGGTTTTCCGAACTGACAGGAAAGCATCCATAAGATTCGCCGCTGCAACAGAACTGGGGTTGTCTTCATCTTGGTCCATGCTCGTATCTCCAACACGCTTGCTATCAGATTGCGACGTTGCCGCTTTGCAAAGGGCTTCTACCCAGTTTTCCTTGTCGCGTTCCAGGTGATACGCCACAAATCGTAGAATGGCGGTCAATCGTTGAGCCCTGGATGGATTGTTGCGTGCCTTTTGCCTCAGCCCTCCAATGTCACTCTTGACAATATTATTGCTGGCTCTAACCATACCCTCTTGCGAATCCTGGCTCAGAACATAATCACAGCCTGACAAAGCGGCGACCACTGGCATAACATCATTGTTGGCTGCACCTCCAGTAGGCAGATACGCCTCGAGAAATTTTTCTCGCACATACTGCATTCCCGACAATCGCGTCATTCCATTATCTTCTTGAATCTCCAATGACTTGAAGGAGATAAACCCAGGACAATTCGGATACACGAGGAAATCGGTGTCATCTGCCAAGATGTATACCTTTGTGCCCGGCTTGATCCTCTTGGCAATCCAATCATCGATGAAGGGTTCTGCTTCGCCTCGACTGGGTCGATGCAAACCCAAAATTTTGCCATTTTCAGCGGTAATTGCGGATGCTGTACTGCACAAATCTTCCACGGCTTCAACCATGGCCCACTCCGCCAGCAAGTGCATTAACTTGGCATTGGATTGTTTTCCGTCGCTTTTCTGCAGCTTTTTGGCCAAGACATCTCCACGAATCGCTTGCTTCCGTAGCCGATCGATCTGTGTGGAAAGCTTTGTCTTGGGTGCCAAGCCATCCATAAAGATCCGCAGTTCACTAAAAGGGGGGATACCTTCCAGCAACTGGGATACAAATTGGTACACTTGCGCCTTGATAACGGACGGGGACGAGTCCATGTAGTTCTTTTGCTTGTTGACGGCCACATGATACAAAAGAGACATGCCATCCACAAGAAGAATGAACGGCTCTTCCTGTGTCACAACGGGCTTTTCCCCCTCCTCCTCTGCCTTGTCGTCGTCAGTGGCCTTGCCCTCTACCGTGATCATTGCGTCCCCCCAGTTGGACCTCCAAGGACGACCAAATCGACGAGGATCTTCCTCCATCAGCGACATGGCACCTTGGACACCCATGGTGGATTACAGATGCCAAACGAAGATAAAGGTACGGGAGGATGTGGACGCAGTCGAGATAATGAAAGTCGCGATGTGATGTGATTGAATGGCAATGTTACCCGTCATACGGAAGTGGTCTTGGACAAGATCCAAGTGCATGGAACAGATCGATGTGCTCTTCCTCCCTTCCGCACCAACTTTTTGGTACCAGCAATAATAAATAAATAAATAAATAAAGCAATAATAAATAAATGATGTTGCTGTAAACTTTGACTGGCAGATACCGGTGGCTGGGGGTGGGTCGCGGCGGTCACAAAAGGACGTCTGGATCGTACATGCAACACCCGGGTAAGCTCCTGCCACTGGCCACATGCACAGGAATGAAGCCTGCACGCGTTTGTTGAGCAGTGTTGTTTGCCCGCACAACCGGTAAGGCATAGCGGTACCTACTCACCACCGTGCGGTATACATAATATTTGTCGTATTGTCAGGGTTGGGTATCATCACAGGATGTCAAAACAGACCCTCCCATTGCCCCCACGCCACCTCTAGCTCTAGATAAGACCCGCCATTTAGTCTAAAAACATACAGATGAGCTCCTGCACCTTATGTGCCTATGGCTTCGAGTTTCATCTTTGAACGCAACCCCACCTGCATCACCTTGTGTCTTGCAGGTCCACCATCTGTTGGCGTGGGCCTAAGGATGCTCCAGCTGTCATTGAACAGGGTACAGTACCAGGTACCCCCACCCTGTGCAGGTGCAAGGGCACCTGTCTCCTCTTTCGACTCGACTCTAACGACCTCGACTCCTCAAATTTTGAGATCTGAAGGAACTGTTTGAAACAAACACTGTGTTTGAGGACAGAGCCAACCACCCTAAGCTAGTATACCACAGTTCTCGTTGCCGCACGGTAGCATAGCACTGAAGATAGCTCAATTCCTTGGATACAATAGGCTGCTGGACCTACTATGCTACGAGATTGCGTTCTTTGGATGTGGCGTGGCAAATGCATTTGCATTATTACAAAATCCTGTGAAAGCTACCGGTACATGTAGTACAACCATCGATTGTGTACCGTGCCGCTACCGCTGGTAACCTAAGAAAAGAAGAGTGTCCTGGACAATTCGACAGACTAAGAGTCGCCCTGAAAGGTTTTGTTTGGATGGATTTGCTCGGTTGCAGAGGAGGGTCAATTGCTGCTCTTTGGCAGGTCGGCTGTGTTGAATGGGAAGCTGCCCAAGGCCCCCTCTGACTCCGCGCTCAGAAACACATTCGTGCGGCAAGAACTTCAACGTTGACTGCACCCGCCAAATCGTCTCCAGCTTCCTCCATCTCCTTGTCTTGTGTGCTGTCATCCGAGGTGGTGTCATTCAGGTCATCGTCATCATCATAGTCCAGGTCTTCATCATCCGTGTCTCCGTCATCTCTCGCTTCGCTCTCAGCAGGAGCCTTTTTCATTTCACGGGTCCATCTTTCTTCGCCATTGGGGCCAGTCACCAGGTGGAAACGTTTAAAGTACTCTTGGACACCTTCCGTGGTGTTGCCCTTGTTGTCTGGCACACCATACTTTGTGGAATGAACTACTCTGATGCGGTATTCACTGTCACCTTTGAGCTCTGCAGGGCCCGATGCAAACACAATGTGGCCCGTGTTCAATGCTTGCGTGTTGGCACATTCATTCATCAATCGAAGCATCTTGCTTGAGAGTGGATCTTCACCAGCTTTCTGGAGCATGTCGTTGACCGAGCCCATTTTCGACCGGAGATCCTTGACGGTGAAGATTCCAATGTTTGCTAGCTTGTTGCGAGTCGCATCGACCCAGGTTTTGACAGCCGGATCACGGCATACATTACGGGAGACCAAGTTCTTCCATTCCTCTTCTTCTTGATGCCAAATTTCTGCAGTCTTGACAGCCTTGAGCAGATGCCTCAGGTCGGATCGGTCATTCGTGGTGAATGCAGCCCCTCCAGCTGCGCTTCCTTTGGGTCTGTAGACAATAATATCTCCTGCACGACACAAAGGTCAAACAATTGTTGTTAGAGGCTACAGTTAGACGGGAACTTCAAGTAGTATCGTTTCGTGTTTTCCTTACCTGGAATGACAAGTCTCAAGTCTCGCACCAAGCGCCATTGCATGCGCATGTCTGTTTCTTGAAGAATATCCGAGTCTGTGACGCTGTACGGCACTGTTTCAAAGAACCGATAAAAGTCCTTGGCACGCATGAAGGATCGATCGCTGAGAGCCAGCACAAACTTCTTGTCCTTGGTGACATGCTGCAGAGTAGAACGAACAAAGCCGGCACAATCCACATGCAACTTCCAAGATCCCTCATGATTAATCTTGAAAACTTCGTCGCCCTTCATTCCATTTTCAGGACGGTGAATGTACTTGGCATCTGCCTCTCCTGCCTTCACCTTCTTGGCAGCCATCTGAGCCAAGCGAAAGCAGCGGTATCCCATGGGACCGGGAAGGAAGATGAGGAGCTGTTTTATGGTTTTGTCGCTTAGTTTCTCGGTGACGCCAATAAACTCCAAGTCCATGTTTACAGTCTCTTCTCGGCAACCTGTCGCCAAGACGGACATGGAGTTGATACCAGCTTTGGTCAGGTAGAGATGGAACTGGCTTGCCCAGAACGGCCCCAAACCAGAGGCATTTCCAAATGCTTGGAGGGCAAACCCAAGCTGGACTTCATCGCTGAGCATCATGATGCTACGACTGTACTAACAATATTTGATTGCTTTTGTGGATTGTTGGACTGACAGCAATTCTTTTGTTTTATGAGGTGTGTGTGGAAGGAGCGAGAGTTTTGCGGAACAAACAGAATGCCGTGTCATTGGGAAAGGGAGAAACCCGCTTCCGTCAAATCCGAACCGAGACGAAGAAAGATCTAAATAATTATTTATTTATTTCCCGATTGGCGGTCGGATCTGTTCCATGCCTCACTCCAAACACGCTGAAGCCGATTGCCGATACAGATACCCCTTGTTGATACATCTTTCTAACTGGAGTATGAGTGCTGCCTTTGTACCCGCTTGGGACACCTCTGTTGTCTCGGAGTATGAAGCTCGTGTAGAGCCATTCACGGGTCTCTTTGTGAAGGACCTACTAGAACCAGTTTTGAAGGATGCCAAAACGAGGGACGGTCCATTATCCCTTCTCGATGTGGGATGCGGAGCGGGCTGTGGCTCCCTGCTTGCTGCCGAACATGGTTTACGTGTGACGGCTACTGACGTTTCGCAAGGCATGGTGGACCGAACACGACAACGTGCTGAAGAAAAGGGGCTTTCTATGGAATGCGTTGAAGCTAGTGGAGAGGAACTGACTTCGAATGATGTCTTAAAGCACCGCCTCGGTCACTACGACTTTTGCATTGCAGCATTTTCCTTAATATTCTTTCCGGATCCAGCCAAGGGATTGGCCGAAATCTATCAGTGTCTTTCCGATGACGGGGGCAAAGTCATGTTGACCGCTTGGGGAAACAAGGAAGAGACACCCGCCTTTCAAGTTTTTCAGGATGCCTTTCGCGCCGTCAAACCGGAAACTGCCGATGGGGGCAAGCCCGGCAGAATCACTGGCTCTCCTTCCGTGCTGAAATCACTGCTGGAGGAAGCAAATTTTCAAGACGTTGAAATTGTCGGACCTGTCTCTCATCACCTGCACGTCAAGGAACCAGAGGCATTTTATGATCGATTTGCGTTGACCTCCCCAAAGATTAGAGGACAGTTGGCATCGTTGGACGCAAAAGAACGACACGCAGTCAAAGAGAAGGTATTGACGCTGGCCGAGGAAAGAGGAGGCGGAAAGGAAGACGGATCCATTGCAATTCCCTCCATGGCTTATCTAGCCTATGGTACAAAGCGTTCCGGTGGGGGCCAATCCAACAAAACCTAGCTGCTGTCATCATTCTGGGGCTAAATACCGGTACCGGTAGTACGTCAGTGGCTGTTGTGGTGTTTTGTGCTATGATGCAAGATAAGAAACGTGGGCAGTTGAAAAGAAGCAGGTGAATGGGTCTGGCAACTTTTTTCTAGGGTGATGCCATTTGAAGAAATGTTCGAAAGCACAATAATATCAACGACGCCTCTACTGGCACCGCGGCATGCTCCGCGGAGCTCCCCACCCAAATTCAAATTTCTCAACAACTTGATGGTTTTCTTATTTTAACTAAGGCTAGGCTCTCTCATTCTACAAGGACAATGGAAATCACGTCTGTTCATCGCAGCTGTAACACAGTACTCCAGCAGCCATGCAGTACCGGTAGAGGACGGAAACTCCCTTCCTCGATTATAGAGCCCCTTCCTTCTTTGCGCAATTTCGGCATGAAGCGCGGCGTCAAACAATAGGAAGATGATTCACAATCGCCCTCACATCCGGAGAGCCAATTTGGCCTAAATCAGATTGAGTGCAAGAGCAACCCATTTCAAGCAAATACTTAAACAACTCAAAATGACCAGATTTTGCAGCAGCTTTGCATACACGTTTGCATTTTCCAGTGGATAGCCATTTGCCAGGGCATACTTCAAGATTTCCAAATGACCATTTTGAGAAGCATCATAGGACCACCTGTCAACATTCCACGGACATCCATTTCCATAAGCATATTTCAGGCATTCTAAGTGGCCATGGTCAGCGGCACTATCACATATATCTTCATGCCATGGGCAGCCATTCTCATGTGCGTACTGCAGTATTTCAACATTGCCATCTCGAGCGGCGTAGTAGCTTGTGCTCGGATCCAATTCACTGCCATTCTCATGGGCATACTTCAAGATTTCAAAGTGGCCTTTTTCAGCAACTTCACTGCACACCAATGGTTTGTCCCATGGACATCCCTTTTCATGGGCATATCTTAGGCATTCCGAATGACTGTTCTTAGCTGCAGAATTACAAGTTTGAGTATCCCATGGGCAGGCATTTTCATGCGCATATTGTAGAGTCTCCACATGGCCTCCTTCAGCAGCATTGCTGCATGTCTCTTCATCCCAAGGACACCCATTCTCATGGGCATACTTCAGGGCTTCCACATGGCCACCTTTAGCAGCATTGCTGCATGTCTCGTCATCCCATGGACACCCATTCTCATGGGCATACTTCAGGGCTTCCACATGGCCACCAGTTGCAGCATCGCTGCATGTCTCTTCATCCCAAGGACAGCCATTTTCATGGGCATATTTGAGGCACTCCAAATGACCATTTTCAGCAGCTTGGCTGCACGTCGAGTCATCCCAAGGACACCCTTTTTCATGGGCATATTTGAGGCACTCCAACTGGCCATTTTCAGCAGCGTTGCAACATGTCCTCTCATCCCATGGACAGCCATTTCCATGGGCATACTTTAAAACATCCAGATGGCCATTTTCAGCCGCAGAATAGCAAGTACGGCCATCCCATTGACATCCATTTTGATGTGCATACTTCAGGACATCCAAATGGCCATTCTCGGCAGCTTTTGCGCAGGTCCAAAAGTTCCAGACACAGCCATTTTCATGTGCATATTTGAGCAATGCCAAATGGCCGTTCATAGCAGCACTACTGCATGTTTCGTCATCCCATGGACAGCCATTCTCATGGGCATATTTCAGCACGTCAAGGTGACCATTTGCTGCAGCACTCTCACATGTCTGTGAGTCCCAATCGAATCCTTTCTCTCGAGCCCATTGAATCACTTTAAGGCTGCCCGCTTTGGCAGCTTCAGCACAGAATGTCCTGCCGTTGATGTGATGACCAGTGCTTGTGTATCGGCGAGTGTACCAATACTCAGCACGGGACACACTGGAGACAATGGCGCTGTAGAAAGTATCAGCATACGCTGCTGAGCGACCCTCTTCCTCGACGTAATCATCATAATACGTGTATTTTTTCACAGCTGGGGGATCCTCCACAGTGTCACAATATTTGATGTAGAGATCTTTCATTTTGTGGCTCACTGGAGCCACAAAGGCAAATTGGCCCATGCCAACCAAAGGGAAAATCTTGGTGATCCAAACATCCTCATGTCGCAAACAGGATTCAGCTTCCCGGGCAAGCCTGATATTGGAAGTTGCCTTGTGGACAACATCATCTGCCTGTGCTTGTAGCTCTAAGGTAAGTGAATATACCTGTTCCTGTAGCGCCCTGGCATTCTCAAGCTCCTGAAGTGCAATTGCCAGGGAAGAGGTGCTCTTCTCTGACTGGAGCTGCTGTAATTGATGAGAAATTGCTTCTGAAACCTCTCTATCTGCTACCGGTACGACAACATGGCTGGGAACTGACAGTTGCTTTTGTCGCTTCAGTGTCTCAGGTAATGGAATGCTGCTTTCTAAACTTCGCTTGCTGCTGTCTTCCTCTTCCATCTTTGTTCTTGCGGTCTGAACTGTGCTGATAGAAAACGAACAATGCCAGTTATCTTGCTAGCTGGCTAGGTCCAAGAAGTTGTCTTGCCAGCAAGTTGTGGGCACGTCCATCTTGGAGGGCCGGCCCAGAAAATCGCATAAGATCCCAACACAGAAAATCCAATGTTGAGCCAATGAACGGCACTGAAATAACGGTTTAGCTCGATCAATGTCAGCCAATGAACGGCACTGTAGCAACCGTTCCGTTGCGGAACTGGCTGGGGGGCCAATTCTCCTTACTTTCTCGTGGTTCATGAACCGAAGACACTCATGCGTGCGCGACAGCTCCAAGCCCCCATCAACCCGACAACTCTGTTATTCGCGGCATTTTGTGTTTGGCACCATGCCTGCTTTTTATAATCAATCGTCTTGCTCGAATGATTTCCTGTCGGAGTGAAGATCAGTGAAGCCTATTACTCTACTAGCTAGTATACCTGGTAGTGTAGCCCCAACTAAATAGAACCTAGCTATAGCGATCTAGCTAGCTAGATAGAGAAGCAGTTGCATCGAAGCAAATCCGACGAATTTTCGCCTGAGAAAACAAAGAGGTTGAGCAAGAAAGTTGATTCGATGATTCATTCGCTACTCCGTGTACACGGTCAATATGAGTCTCTTTTGGTGCGCTGATTCTTCAAAGGGCAATCGACCGTGCTGCACCGAGCGGTTGTTCAAAACTAGCCAATCACCTGGTCGAAGTCTCAATACTTTTACTGCTTTCCAAACATCGATCTGCAAGCGTTCAATCATTTCCCGTGGTATGTAGGCACCATCCGCCAGACCGCCCAAAGGCCACTTGCCCGGCAATGAATCGACAATGGGATACAAGTTATTGAACCAATCCCCTTGTTCGTTAAAGCCACTTTGCATGTTTTCAGCAATCAGCGTGTCATTCGGATCAAAATACACCGGATCGCACCCCAAACGTTTAAAGTATTGAATGGCTTCTTCACGAGTGGTGGCTTTGGTTTTGTCTTGCCAAGTCATGGGATCAAACTGAGAAGACGATCCTTCTTGGTTGTTGCCTCTCTCGATAATAGTATGTTTTGAACGATATTCGCGGCGATGTAGTATGCCACCGTGGTCCTTGACGAATTGCTGTAATTTGGGAGATATATTCTTGCTGTGATCGCGATTGTAGGCCAGCAGTGTCTCTCCTCCGCAGTGTCTCTCCTCCTTTCTCTGCGTCTGAGATGCAATAAAACGCAATTCGTCCAGCAGGACGAGGATTATACACCATTTCATTGTGGCACCGAAGAATTTGATGGGGAGGAAACGGAGAAACAAGATCAACACCTCCGAGCTTGGGTCGATCTCGTGTGATTGTGACGTATTCCATAGGAGTCCAAGAGGAACCATCATCATCATTGTGATTGCAGCAACCGTTCCAAAACAAGGAAAAATCCTCGGCAGAGTGTATCACAGAATCCAAGTTTCGAAAGAGCACGGCGTCATGTTGGTTCGAGTCGACAAGTTGTCTAGCCCAACGCCCGAGAACCGCGAGGGTTGATTGTTTGTCTTCTTCATCTTCGCCAGACCCGCATTGCAATTCATAGACTGACACATCCTTCTCGCTTGGTACTGGAATATGCGATGGCAGATCGGGATGGCCTACTCCACACTTGGCGGATGCCCAGCTAGGCTCAAACGCCACGGGCTCGCCCAGAATAGGATGATCCAGGCGAAGAAAACTCGAAACTTGAGGAGACTTGGTCATTGCGGCTGATGTGCTACCGTAGAGAGAGCGACATTTTGACCCAATGGTACTTCCCAATAAGGAGGGGGTGGTACCTCGTCATCTTATTGCCCTGCGGGTCCTGGTACCGGTATTGATACCGGTACATGCAATTGGTACCGGTTTGGTTTTCCCCACGCATGAGTCTACATTAGTATGTACTGTACTAGCTAGACTAGCTAGACTCTAGCTAGCTAGCTAGAATTATGATGATGATGATCCAACGACAAAGATCCCTTCAACTTGTACGTGAATGGAATGGAATGAAGTTATTCACCTTGGACGCACTGTGTCTCTGAGTCAGAAACCTATAAAAAATGAAGACGGAGGCAGCAACGCACCGGTACTGCACGTCTACCAACAGGATGCGGTACCCTTACACCCTTACCGATAGCGTTGTCATGGTTGCAGGACACAGGAACATGCATGAATAGAGCGGGCCAAACGCCGCTTGCTGCCCTTCTTCCTTCCTTTACTTATCACCAGGCTATACAGAGTTGGACGGTTCCTGATCTATCCTCCTCTGCTTTCGCTCGCCTGGACTGGATCATGGCGGTAGCTCTCCTCATAATTCTCTGTGCAGCCTTCTGGTACCCAAAATTGGTGAAGACCACGAAGGCATACCGGTACCCATCAAATCCTTCATGGTAGCTCAACAGCAACGGAGCTTGGATACCACTCTTCCCTGCTCGGGCAAGGCGGGCAACCGATCCTGGATGTCAACATGACGGTGTATTTATTTATCATCCAGGAAACGAGTGGAGTTCTGAGACATCATTCCGTGACTGGCTTGCTTGCCTCTCCATATACCGGTTACCGGTACCGGTACATGTCTGCATAGGGACAATGAACGGCTAAAGATCCATCCAACGGGCACCACAAAACCAAGACTGAAGGCCCAAGTTCAGACTTGGATTTTGCCGCGGATTCTCAAAAAGATGCCCACGAAGGATCTCAATGTCATGAAGTGCCCAACTTCGCCAGATCTTTCGGCGTCTCATTATTCTCAGACCCTCTTTTTTTGATCTAAAGTCCGGATAGAAAAGCGCGATCGACAATGAAGGTTGAATTTGGTTCTGTTGTTTGCCTTGTGGCTTGTGCCGTGCGGTTGGTTTCTGCCGATCTGGCTGGCAAAATTTTCCCAGAGGAATTGACGCCAAAACGCACCAGTATTGATGCCGTCAGGAATGCCTACATGACAAAACTAGCTGGCGGTGGAAAAGCAGAGAAGGCAGAGAAGCCAAAGGGACCCAGCGCCAGGAATATGGCTGATCCTCTCTGGCCAGGCCCGGTAAGTCAAGGGAATATATTTGCTTCGACACGGCAACACCGCTTGACGAGCTCACATCTCCTCGTGTTTTCCTGATCTCCCAGCGCCCGCAATTTGGAGTGGACCTATCCCTCAATATCCGGTAAGAGCCATACTGCGTTTGATGATGTGCCTTCCCTTCTTGTTACAGTCACCTTATTTCTGACTCCCTGCGGTTCCTACCCCACGGCAGCTATGACACGTTCCCAGCAGAGGTGTTGGTTTCCGTCGAGCCCCTTTTCAACCGCAACGGCACTTCAGTCGCCAGCGCGAGGACCATCCACTCACCCAGACAAAGCACTTCACAAAAAATTGACGTCACCAGCTATGATCTTGAATTCACACCTGAAACTCTCTATAGGGTTGAATTGTTGGATCTTGCAGGTGCGGAAATGACTTGATCCTATGGCCGGGTCGCAACCTCCGCTCATCTATCTCACAACAACTTCTTTTTGGGCCATTGTAGGCGATGGGATCTGTTGTGACTATGAAAGAGGTTGGGCGACACTTGTGAACAGGGGAGGAGATGTGATCTGGAGCACCGACGGTAACTATACGTTTGCTGTTGCTGCCTACTTGTGGGTGGATGAACTCGGGCGTGCCGACGTTGTCAGCTCCACCAACCTAGCAATCCCTCCGGTTGCCAACCCCCCGCCGATGGGGCAACCGCCCGTCCCTGCGCCTGAGACGCCCGGAACTCCTCAGCCAACACCTCAACCGCAGGGCACCACCAGCATCGGTGTTACAGTCACGCTTCCGCCTAACCTCAACAATCCACCCACGTCGCCTGGTACCGGTACCCCTCAGCCTTCTCCTGGTCCTACTCCTGGTCCTACTCCCATGCCGACTCTCCGGACTACTCCAGGGCCAACACCTTCCCCCACACCATTCCCGACTGAGTTCCCCACACCATTCCCAACTCCTTTCCCAACCCCTGCACCGGTTGCCACCTTTAATTGTAACCTATGCCCATTTGGTTCCGTTGGTCTCCCGGACTACGAATTTGAGAATGATGGAACTACGTTGACTTGTGCGGATGCCGAGATATTGTACGGTTTTCTGGATGACGATTCCTGCTCGGAAAATGAAGATTCTGGCTTGACTCTGTTCTACCAGGTCTTTTGTGAATGTCCTGGCTTTGAATCCAATTGTCGACTGTGCGACGAGGATGAGAAGGCGGATCCCGACGTTGAGATTGAGCTGACGACGGGCGATAGTTTCTCGTGTGCCTTTTTGGAGTTTGACATTTTGCGGGCCGACCAGGACACCTGCGATGCCCTGGACCCTGTTCTTGATCAACTGGCGGACGATTGCCGGTGTGGATAAACAAGCCATTTCCCGCGGAAACTATAATGGCCGGTTGTGTCCAAAGCTAGAAGACAAGAATCTACATGCACTGAAAATGAATGTACAATAGTTTCTTAAAAATGAAAGTTATTATTGCACGATTTGCTCTCGTTCCACAAGAAAAACTGCGACGTTGGGTTGTGTTTTTTGAACAATTTAGTCCTCCTCCTCCTCGTCCTTTACTGTTTGCTCTTTTGTTGTTGTTTCTTTTCTCGTTTTCGTGTCCTCTTTTTTGGACTTCTGGAATCTGTCGACGACATCCGCCCTCTGTTGCTTCGTCAGCTCTTTGGCACAGTGAATTTCTTTGGCGTGTTCCAACTTTTTGGTTTCGGGATGCTTCCAAAAACACTCGGGATGCAAGGTACAAAGATTGCGATACCCCTTGTGACATTCCATAAACAGCCCAAATCGCAGCGTAGACTTGGTGATTTTGTCTCCACAGAGTTTGCAGGTGGCCCTCCCACTGGGATCCAACTCGGCCACGGCCACATGGGGGTGTTTGGCTCGATCGCGCTTGGCCCCTGCCGTGAGCGTGGGATCAGAATCGGCAAATCGTTTGATGGAGAGGTGTGACATGGTATTCCATCCCTTGGTTTTGGTCTCTTTGGCTTTGACAGCCGTCACTTTCGTATCTTCCTTCTTCATCTTGGATCTCGTGACCTTGACCATTATTTTATAAAGAAGAGACGGGAGCGATGATGAATGCAGCAGGGTAGAGGGCAGGTTTGGAGAAAGTGCAGTTCGATGCCCTTCAACCAACAGCAGAAGAACACGAGGATTGATGAAGAAGCACAGGACTGGGAGAAGCAAAAGTTGCTTCCAAGGGACTCAACCGTATCTTTGAGTCCAGTCCCATGCGTCCACTTTGGCTGGCTGGCACCTCGATCTCAGTGCTAGTCGTCCATCGTGAGAGAACAACAAGCAGCAGAAGATGAGATGAGGGGATGGGGCTCAGTAACCCCATGGCAAAGGTTTCTTCTTGTGTTCACTCCTCTTGCGGTATGGCATATTCTGTTCTACCCAATCGATGATAAAGTTGCTACCACTATTAATATCCAATTATCCAACAACAGCAAGAAGAATGAGGATGTGGTTCCCAACGAACACACTGAGCCACTGGTATTTCAGGAGGGACAAATTCGAGGTGCTGCCATGATGTTGGTTTCCAAGCCTTGGACGAATCGACGTGGGGATCGACAGTGTTATTTCAACAAGAGCATGGACGATTTGGCCCGAAACTGGTTTCCCACAAACCCCTACCCCATTATTCTGCAACACCCCAAGGGTTGGACTGCCACCGAAATCAAGGATATTCGTCAGAGATGGCCTCAATTACAAATCTACTTTTCCCAACCATCCTTTCGCAAATTGAAACCTCCCAAACTCATGCAAGATGACGAAAAACCACTCTCGTCGTTGGGATACAAGAAAATGTGCGCCTTTAAGACCTACGGTATCAAGGAGGCTCCCTACATTCGCACCCGTCAACTCGATTATTTGTTTTATATCGACGACGACGCCTGTGTCACAGAACCCATACAATACGATGTCTTTGCAACTATGCAACAACACAAGATTGCCTACACTTACAAACAGATATTTACCGATCCCGAAAATGTCGTTCACGGCTTGCCCGACTTTGTGCAGGAGTACAAGCGCCAACACAACAACTTGCAGCCGGCCAATCCAACCTTGGAAGCATTCGTATTGGACCACCAAAAGGATGGATCACAATGGGCATTCTCGACCAATTTGGAATGGCTAGATGTACAAGAATTCTTCTTTCGACGACCCGACATTGTCGAATTTTATCGCGTTCTGCAAGAGTCGGGCATGATTTTTCATCGACGATGGGGAGATGCACCTTTGCGCTTTGTCATGGCCTATCTCTTTTTTCACAATTCCCAAGTCATGAGACTATGTTCCGAATATGTCCATTCCGGATGGCCTACCGCTGTGTCCACGTGCACGGATCCACAACAACAAACACCCACAATTCAAGATGCTGTACTTCAGCAGTTGAAGGATTGTGTCGCCACTTGTAATTGATTTGATAATTGACATGGATCTTGGTAGTCGGTGTGGAGAGCTCCATTCCGAATTACTATTGGACGTGGCCAATGGACGTCAACAATAATTGCCCGAGCCCGTCAATAGATGGAATACACATGCTAATCGGTAGAGCATTGTTCAATACTGGTACATTTGCTTAACTGGTCAAGCGATTCCAAAAACTCGGACAGAAACACCGCACCGAGCGCCCAAACAAGGGCAACCGGGAGACAGTTCGTTGCTCCTGTGCAAAACATACTTATCGTTTGCGTTCTCTGCCGCTGGACCCCAATTCATCCCACAGAGGCCGTCATCGTGAGAGGTAGCGCTCAAATGTCAGGGGAAGCCAAAGCTTTTACTTTGCTGTTTTATTAATTTGAACTATTGTACTATCTTTTTCCTTGGTGCCGTCAATCAGCATGCTCGATTAGAAATCCTTGCGACCACTTCCTGGGACCTCCTTCATGGAAAACATGAGTACATGGGCCACATGACCATTCTCGGTGACTTCCACACCAGTTGCTTCGATCTCAATGCGTCCGCCTCCATGGACCTCACAGGCATCATGTCTATCCAATTCCTTTCCATTCACTTTCACTGTACCCTCCAAGCAGAGAAGGTAAGCCTGACGTCCTTCAGGAAGGTCATGGACAATCTTCTGTCCCAAGTCAAGTTCAGCAGCGTGAGCATCAACATCTTGGGAGATCTTGACGGGAGTGTCAACCTTGTCATTCTTATTATCCGACACAAGGTGCTGGAACTGGTTCTTGCGGGCTTCAGCACCCCCAGTACAAGATCCATAGTTAGGCTTCAGTCCACGGTTGGAAGGAACAATCCAAGTTTGGATGAACCTCAAGGGCTTGTCTCCATGGTTGAACTCAGAATGGGTCACACCCCTACCAGCAGTCATGAATTGGATGCTGCCACGACCCAAGGTTTCCTTGGTACCCATGTCATCTTCATGTGTCAACTGACCATTGACAATGTATGTGATGATGTCCATATCCCTGCAATCAAAAGTAGAGTCAAGAGAGAAGTGAGTGAAAAGAAAGAGTGAGTTAGAAATGCCTTCAAATTGTGTACCTTCTCCAGGTTTCAGTGCAAGATAATGGTTCAATCAGTCCATTGTTGGCTTACCTGTGTGGGTGTGCTCCAAATCCCCGGTGGGGTTGGACTAGGTCATCATTCATAACACGCAACACTCCAAAGTTGGAGTTGGCAGGGTTGCGATACTCTGCAAAGGAGTAGTGGAAGCGACTCTTGAGCCAGTTGCCATTGGTCCATTCCGGATCATTGGGTTCATTGGCACTATTTCCAAACCAAGAAGGGTTGGGTTCAGAAACAAAGAGCTTGCTGGACGGAACAACCTTGATGGTAGGTGCCATGGTAGCTTTACAAGATGTGGAGATAGCTTTGGATGTAACTTGGGCTGTCAATGCAAAGAGGAGTGAAAGTTTTGTTGGCCGTGAGAAGAGTCGGCAAGAGCTGTGTTTTTTGTAGGAAAGAATCTTGATGTGTTGCTTGGAAACTGAAGGGAGTCGATCCTTCAGTTTGTCTTCTGTGCTTAAGCTTGTTTGTTTGCTTTGCTCGTTGTTGTTTTCGATTTGTGAGACAGAGGAGAGGAAGACTAATTGCAAAAGAAGCACGGCCAGAACGGTGGCGGTGACCGAAGGTCGGCGTCTTCGCCGAAGCCGAAGATACTCGCCGAGAGGAAGATCTTGGATGCACGAATGAAGGAATCAATCCTTGCCAGATCCTTCTCCTTTTCTGGGAGACTGGTTTGCAACTACCATAATATATTCAGCCATCACAAACACCTGAAAGAACAGATGTCTCTATCAAACCTAAAGGTACTGGACTATATGTTGCTTTGTGTGTTCCACTTGCTTCAACTGAATCTGATTTTGCTTTGCGACAGTGTATTGTGACAGGTGCCTCCTCAGGAATTGGGAGGGCAACATGTCACGCCTTGGCCAAACAAGGTGCCAAAGTCGTCGGCGCTGCAAGGAACGAGCAATCCTTGGCGAAACTCAAGAATGAAGGTGGTGTCTTTGACTTTGTTGTTGCAGACATCACGAAACCAGGTGACTGCGAGCGGATGGTCACAAAAGCAGTGGAATTATTGGGCGGGTTGACGACTGTGATTAATGCAGCTGGTGTCCTCTTTGGAGGAGGCATGGGCGACGTTGATTTATCCAATTATCAGAAGAACATGACATGCAATACACAGGCCCCCTTTGAAATTATGGTCCACGCAATACCGCTCCTCAAGAAACAGGATGAAGCCATTTCTCGGTCCATTATCAATGTCAGTTCCGTCAATGGGAAGCAGGCATTTGCTGGTTGCGTGTCGTACTGCATGAGCAAAGCTGCTGTAGACCAATTGACTCGATGTGCTAGTGTGGATTTGGCGAAGTTTGGCATTCGAGTAAACGCTGTGAACCCTGGTGTGATTGAGACAAATTTGCAAAAGGTGAGTTGTTGGTGTTTTCGTGTGCTATCGCTACCAATGGAAAGGCAAATTTATCCTCACCATGTCATGATGTCTTTGTGCATGTAATGGATCAGGCAGGAGGCCTGACAGACGAACAATATGCTGGCTTTTTGAAGCGGTCCATCGAGACCACGCATCCCATTGCAGCTAGTCTTGGCCGCGTAGGACAACCAGACGAGGTGGCCGAGCTCATTTGCTTTCTAGTTTCAGATTCTGCCAAGTTTATCACTGGTGAATGCATCGCCATTGACGGTGGACGACAAAACCTAGGGGCTCGATAGGCAAAGAGGAAAATGCTGGAACAACGCACAAACAACACGACTGGCACTCTTTCATTTACGTTCTGGAACAATGAAATAGCGATAAACTGCATATTATGACACCAATGGCCCAAAGCAGGCCACCACCAGTAGAGAATTAGAGGTCTGATGCTGCTTCCGAGTCCAAGAAGTAGGTTGGCGACTGCAGCAACTGTGCTGGAAATGTTCCCCGCGGCTCTTCGGCCGGACGAACCATGGCCCGCTTGACCGCTTCTTTCTTGCCCTTGCTACCGCCACAAACCACCACAGCCACGTCTCGTGCTGCATTGATAGACTCGATAGTCAACGTGATCGAACTTGGTTCTCCTTCCTTGGGTGATCCTGCAACAGCGTTGGTTGTGTTGAGAACAGCAGGTCCCATGGGGTGATTCGATCCAACGTGTCCGTCGGATCCTAATCCCAAGAGGACCAAATCAAAAATTGGACACCCATTGCTTGAGGTTGGGATATTGGCTTCTTTTAATGCATTGGCATAGAATGCTGCATCCGCGGATCCATCGGTGCCTTCCACTGGAGACGGATTGGGGCATACAAATCGAGTTATTCCTGCCTCATTGGCAAATTTGGTTTTGCACTTGGCAATGGTGGCCTTCTTTTCATCGTCCAGTGCCACGCACTTGTGATTGACAAACGACAAGACAACCTTCGAGTAATCAACCTTTTGGTCGTTGAGGCCTGCCAATGCGTCGAGCAAGGAACCACCCGCAACTGCCAAATGAAAGACGCCACGTTCGGCAATGGCCTTGTTGGCGGCAGCCGCAACATACTCGCAGAGAGCCTTGGAAACTTTGTCTTTGGTTGGGAAAACCTTCGTCGTCAAGGGAGCTGGTTTCGCAAGTTCAGGTTTCGACGACGAGGACTTCTCTTTCTTGGCTGCCTTGACAAGGCCAACCATCAATACTGCAGTCACCGCAAACAGGGCAAGGCTAGTGGAAAGTGTTTTGGAATCCATCCTTTTGCTGCTACAACACGACATTGTTGAGGGAATCTTCTACCGTACGGCGTTACAACTGAAGATGACACTCGGGCGGATTGTTGTTAGATTGTGGCACCCTTGGGTTTTGCAAAGGTCTGTTACAAGGAGTCTTAAGAATCAGATTATTCTTAAGAATCAGGAAAAAATCTTGGGAAAATTATGATTCTTAAGAATCAAATACAGGGTAGACAAGGATTCTTAAGAATCAGCCT